ATGATGATGGTTGTTGTGGTTGGACGTTTTTGAAGTAGTAGTTGCTGAAGAGTTTCGCATGAAACGATTCCTGAGCTTGTCAATTTCTTCAGAGCTGAAATATTCATTCTTGCCCACGACCGTTCCAATAAGAAAGAGGAATTTGTGAGCAAGATTCTCAGGAAGTAAATCTACAAGACCTTCATCGTTGAGCATTTCCTGTAGTTTGGTTTTGAGAAAGATGAAACCTATATATGATTGAATTGTATCCATTCATACAATTAATTGGTGTGTTGAATTCATGTGTTAATCATAACAATTCATCGTCAGAGTGATGACAGATTTTGACACATGGTGTCACACAACATTCACCTCAATACACACACATACCTTCTTTTTTGAATGAGAGGGGAATGAGACTCTGCCAAAGCAATCCCTAATAATACTTGTTGCGACAATGGTAAATTGAGAGTACGAGAAAATTGAGAAATGAATTCAACTTTTAGTCCATTCTCCACTCCTTCTGAGAAGGCTCTCAAAATAATGGAAGTAAAATTGGTTTGAGTGGTCAACTTGGCAAATTCCTGGCTCAATAATTGAAGTTTTGATTTGTCCTTTTGTGTAATGTTATAAAAATTGATCGAGGAAAGAAGAGTTGTTAGAAAATGTCTGTATGCTTCAAATCCGTATTGTTTCAAGATCTATCAAAATTGTTGTGATTTTTGTACAATGAAAATTTCAATCAGTCGTGCATGAGGTAATTGTGGTACAAAATGTCACAATAACCAGAATGTTCATCGTGTAGTTTGAACGTATATCGATTGAACATTGTTCAGAATATTGTTGGACAAAAGTTGTCGATTGTATGCAAAATATACAACAAGACAAATTATTATTCAAAAAATTAAAATCATTAACCAATATTTCAATACATTGAAATCTTCGTTCGGTTTAATTCACAAATCACACTCACCTTTTCAATTTCCGATACATTTCCTCGATAATTATTCTTATCGAGAGTAAGTACTAGATTTTTAATTTGTAATCCGACGCTCTGGCTGAAATCGTACGACGTCTCAAAACTGGATGATGAGAGAAGGCTCGATGAAATTTTACCACTGTTCCCGATACTTGGCGATCCAACATTTCCAATGATCATTGGTGTTGATGAGGTTGATGATGACAAAAGAGGTGTTGTTTGAAATGATGAGGTTGAAGATGGCTGCATTTTTTACGAATTGAAAATCTGCATGATTCTCACACGACGAAAATTCATATAATAATTCATTGACAAAATTATATTATTTAATTAAACACAGGAGAATTAACAAAGCTTCTCTAAGAAAGTTTATCCAATTGATTTTGGATAGCCTCTAATTTGGTGAAAAATCCATAAAGCTCCTCTCGTGTAAATTCCACCACAATATTTTCTTCTTTTGGTTTGTTCGTTTCGCGATCCTTTTGATAATCCAATGTTGTAAATTCAAAGAGAACGTTTGGTATTTTCATTTTGGACAGATCAGATTCAGATATTTGCATTTGTAAACGCCAATCAAAGTGATCCAATTTCACAGGTCCACCCAAAGTATGTTCTTTGGCGCTATTCATGTATTCTCGTCCCTGTTTTCTCCACACTTCTTGGAATGCTTGAGCATGTGTTTCAGAAATTCCACTCTGGGAATCAATCAATTCTTGGAAAAGTTTCTCGGGATTGAGAGTATTATAGAGAGCTTGTTCAAATACATAGCTGCAGCCATCAATGAGTAGTACAAGTTGTTTATCATTCTTGATCATTGGAAATGTCTCCAAGAGACGTTCTCTTTCTTGCTCCGTGAAAGAGGCTCCTTCCGATGCTTTGTGTTTCAACAAAATATGATTCAGAAGTTTAAAGAAGAGTTGTGGTGGATCAATTGAATTCATCAATGCGACCGCAGTCCTAAATCTGTGTCATAATCAGATTCCACAACAACAAATGCGTTATCATCATCATAATTGTAAAGAAAGAGATGAAAAATTAAAAAGGATGATGATCCGAAAAATTGTTCATAAATTCATTATTTCAACATCAAGATCATTCCGATAGATATATTAAAAAGCAAATAAAATTTTAGTCAAAATGTGAGCATTCCAAGAAGCAACAATATGATCTCTTACTTTTCCGTGTTCTGAAAGGGCATTTTTCTTGTTTGTTGTTGAAAAAATCTTTGGCAATTAAACTTAATGTTGTGATTTACGTCTCGAGTATTGTGTATTTAAAGACACTATTGAATTTATGAATATTGGTTTATACAAATTCCCATGATTACATGTTTTGACAGAGAGTTTTGAAGGTATGACAGTGAAAAACCATGGTTTAAATGAACTTTCATTATTGCAATCCTTCAAATTGTCCAATCCTCTGAGATTAGTCTTTGAGGGCTCAAGATTGACCCTCAATTCAGCAATGTAACAATATCAATTATCCAAAAGGATTTCGAGTTTTACCATCTCAACTAGAATGGAAGAACGTATTGTTGCATACAACCGAAACAATGCTTGAATATCTTTGTCCCATTTACTTCTTCCATTCATCCATTTCTTCCGTTGTTCCTGAATGGATCTCCATGCCAATTAGTAGAAGCAGTCCCTTGGCAACAATTTAAAATTCAAAAAGTGAGAGAGATGCACGTACACTACTAAGAACACAAGAAATAAAGCGCAAGTTTTCTCTTCATTTGGCAATATTCATTCTTTTCATAATATTCTCCCTTTTATATTTCATTTCGAACAGGTTTTTTCTTGTAAGTTCTTATTTTCATTTTTAAAGGAAATGGGATGATTAAAGTTTGACACGAACTGTGGCGAAAACATACCACCCCCATCATGATGATGTACTATCAGTTGTGTGTCCACGACATCCATTTGCTTCACCATGGCATGTGTCATTTAAGGTGAATTCTAAAGCATTTCGTCCTGAAAAGTCTCGATGGAGTTACAGCACTTAAGAGGTGTGATTCATCTTTAACAAGTTCCTTATCTGTGTTGGTTGCATAGCCTTTAATCATTTTCAAAGTAACTTGCCATAAAGAAACAACAAACTACTTTGACCATAGTCATGACAATGGATCACATGCTCTGTTGGCTCATCCGCAGCGAATCGATCATCATCACCTATGTGTGAGCACAAATGCGACAACAAAATAACCTGAAAATTCACCCATGAGTCAAGAAAAGATTCCTTCCTAAAATGAATTGAGACAACACCCATTCTTTACTTAATTGTTAAAAGATTAAATTGGTGTGAGTAAACTTCCATCAAAGTACAATTACTGAGTCAATATCTATTTCACTTCATGCAACAATTCTCAACCTTTTCAAGCCATAACCACATTTATGTGATTCATCCGAGGAGTTGATCATGAGGACAAGTTGGAACGCATATTTTTCTTTGAGGTTAAGATTATTAAAGTCTTTGTCTCAAAGCAGACAAGGCTTTCTCTTTCAAAAAGAAATATTCAACAACGACTCAACTCTCGTGTAACAACATAGCAACAACTTTCGACTCTCACACCCTAACAACAAGAACCACACGAACAACAACACCATTAAACGGAACAAAAGCCTTTTACCAATACTAAATCTTTGCCATATATTTACCTCCGTATCAAGAACATTCAAGATGGTTCTGAATGTTTCAACGAGAGCTTCCTCTCTGACCAGGAGGGGTTTGCACAGCAACAATGATGAAGGTGAAACTCCATCCTCCAACAGTGAATGTCCTTGCTGCAATGGTTTCTACAGCAAACGATTCTATTCCAATGTTGTGGGAGGAGGAACCCTCAATTTGGATCATTATGTCTTTCCACCATTGAAAGAATCTGACTCCAATGGCAATTCAGATCATCTAGAAGAGAATGATCCAAACGATGATCAGACTTCAGAAATTCACTTTACTTTTGATTTTTCCAACCTTCCAGAAGATGACGATGTGATTCCAAGTTGTTGCGGTTCATCTGAAATGTCGAAAAGCTTCACTGCATCGACCAATGACTCGGTGTTGCCTCCGGATTGCGAGAAGCCTTCTCTCTCTTCAGACGCTTCCAATCACTCGATTGACTGCAAAACACTTTCATCCATCCTCCCTTCTTCTGATAATAATTCCACCACTCCAAACGCCCTTCCTTTCACCAAACCCAATCCTTCCTTCATTCCTAGCCTTCCAAGAGTCTCTCGATCTATTTTCAAATTGTTACTTGTTGCCTCCATGCTCATTGCTTTTAACTTGCTTTTTCAGAACATCCTTCTCTCCCTCTCCATAACAAGTTTTTCTCTTTTAACCATTGGTTTCTCCGAGTACTCGACGAGGCGATTTTGCAACTTGGAGAAAGCTAATGCTTTGCTGATGGAATCGATAGCACATCGAGATGCTCAAATCACTTTCATCTGTCATGAATTTAGGACGGCCTGTATGGCAAGCTTGGGAAGTATTGAATTAATCAAGGACTCGTTTGAGAAGCGAACACATAAATGTTGATCAAAAAGAACTGGTCAAGCAAATCGAATATTCGAAAACACGAGTACTGACTGTTCTCTCGGATTTGCTGGTCAACAATAGAAATCCTCGATAGCCACAATAGTATGTCACAAACCTAATAAATGGTATTTGTGAAATAATAATGAAGTCACCTTGTCAGACAAATAATGGATGTTAGCTGAATGGAAAATTAAAAAGTTAACTCCCCCAAGTGGGCTCGAACCACTGACCTGCAGATTAACAGTCTGACGCTCTACCGACTGAGCTATGGGGGAACTCGTTCATCTTTTTCATATTAATAGTATATTTGAATACTCAAAGTGAAAACCACAAACTTCTCTTTGACCAATGACAGCCTTATTCCAATATTGCCCTTATTAGTATGTTCAAAGACACTGTTTTGATCGTTTTTGCTTCAAAAAGATTTTCATAATTGACCCTCGTTCTTCAAACCAAAAACATCCTTCCATGAAATTCCTGCCGCCGATTGTCTCAACCTTTCCTTTCTTGTCCCTCATCCAAAATGACAGCCCAAAAAAAAGACAAGTGTCACATCTCTCACTTCAATCTTTGCACAAAATTGATTCCATTGTCGTAGTAACCACAAGTGACATCATGGGTCAAACACATTCACCACCCTCCTCCTCAAGAGTCATGAGAGTCCTTCCTCAACATCATTCATCTTCTCGAATTGGGTCACACTCTCCTCAACATCTCCTCTCCTCGATACCACCCATCGAAGAGGAGAATGACTCAAGGAAGGATGAGGATTCCACATTTCTTTGCCCTCGCCGTTCTCAAGAAGTCTCTCTTTCTTCTTCTCCCAAACACTCAACAAGCAATCATCACAACAGAACAACAACAACAACCTCTCCACGTTTAGCCAATCGTGGAGGTGGTTATGGTGGTCATGGTGGAATGCCACAAACGATCTCTGGAAGTAGCCATGAAAGCCATGAAGAAAGAGAAGGAAAATGGTTTTCAAGTGTTTCGAGTGAAAATTTTGAGTTGAAGAGTCCGCGAGGAATGATGACGATGGGACATTCTTCATGCATGCAACACTTGAAACAAAAGATGATCATGATGATGGTCTATGGAAGTAATCATGTGAGCTATAGTGGTAAGTTTGGATTTTATTTGTCTATATCGGGAAATCATTCTTATAATGAACTTTTATGGTAATATTTAATGTAACAAGATTCCATACTTCAATATTGGATGGAAAGGTATCAGCCACCGATTGAATTGGATCGTATCAAAAACAAGATTTTTCAATTATGTCTTCAATTTCTTCGTTTCATTTGTTTGAAGAGTGAGGCTTCTTCGGAACAAGGACTTGTTGTTGTTCAAGCATTGAATAACGAAAAGGAAAAATTATTAATGGAATGGTTGTTAGCAGTGGAACATCCATCCAACAAGAAGATGGATGACGATGGTTCGGAACAACTTGTAGCAAGCTCCTCGCAAGAGATGGATGAAGAAGAACAGTTCTTTTCCTCTTCTTGTTGTTTGTCTCCTTCTCAGTTACAAAAATTTGATTCTGAGATGATGTGTTGTTTGGAACGACTCTGGAAGAGTGAATATATTCAGGAACGATTTCATTCTTTGATGAGTCGAGTAAAAACTGATCCTGAAGAGTCAATCATGAATGGGAGTGATATGAAAATACTAAAAGAAGAAAACCATACAGATCAGAACGTTAATCATAACTCTCAATCGACCTCTCTAAATGGTTATCAACAATATCAAGAGAGTGCTCCATGTCAACTATGTAAACATGCAGAGTATTTCTTGAATAAGGTTCAGGAAATTGTCAAACATGATTACGTATGGACTATTGATGATATGACTCATGCCATGCAAAGAAATTCGAGATTGAATGAAGTGAAACTCTGGTATCGTCCTCATATCATGAACAGCAGCTTTATTAAGAATCAGATATCATTGACTGGAGTGGAAACTATTTATTCAGTGTTGGATATTACAGGTTTGTATTGGGTTTTTTTTGACAACTTTGAAATAATTATTCACAATAGATGTAATCCATACAATTGTCTCCATGTTTGTTAGCTATTGGAGGTGAGAAAACAAAATGGCTTCGATCGTACAGTAACGTGGATGGATTTTTAATGATTTTTTCATTGGATGAAATTTCGTCAGATAAGCATTCGTTGCAAACAGCTCTTCATGCATTCAACGAAATTACTCAATATTTCAGTGGTACTGCGTCAAGTTCAAATAATCTTGTGCGATGCAATTCAACATCATGCAGAACACAGATTTATGTTTGCTTCACTGAAAGCAACCTATTTTGCGATCGAGTGATGAGAGGAGAATATGCTTTGCAAAAATCATTGAAAGGAGATGCCAGAAATCCTACCACCGTTTTCAAGTTCATCGTGGCTCAATTCATGCAAAGTAATGGTATCAATGGAGTTTCCTTATCCTCCAACAATTTAAACAAAATTGTCAACAACGAACATACTTCCTCTCCAATACCTTCAAAAAGTTTCAGCGCGTCCTCTCCAGAATTGTTGTTTTTTACTGTGAACGATTTTTCATGCAAGAGTGACATGTACAATTTTACAGAACATTTGCTTGAAGGAAAATCCTATTTCGAAGACAGAATTTCAGGAAAGAAAGCCAAGAGAGATGATGAATTACGTAAGGAATTACTGTCAATGTGCGTCCATTTCCATGAATCCTCACCGTCGCTGATTAGTAGCCATCGTATGCTCAATGGCCTCACAGACATTACTCTGAATTGTCAACTTTAAACAAGTTTCAATTACCAAACTAAATAAATAGGTACAGAAGAACCTACTCCTTCTTTTTACAATTCAATTGGATTTAATATGAAGAACTGTTGAGATGTGTGTTTGTACAAATTTCAAATAAATAAGTATATATTGATTGACTGGATTGTCAGCAAGAGTGACCTTTTTGTTGTTTCATATTACTCTTCCTTGTGCTTATCTCCACCTCTGATCTTGTTGAGAATAATTTTCATAATGGCAAACCACCACAACAATTGGACTAAATAATACAGGAATGGGAATATCAAACTCGAAGCAAGAGTAATTTGTCCGAATGAAGTGAACTGTGCCAACGTAAAGCGAGCCCACAAAACAAAACACATCAGAATGCCATTGTACATAATTCTCGAGAGGAAAAATGTCACTACAAATAATCCTTGATTCAATTGATACCACCACTTGTTTGTTTGTTTCCACTGTCTTGCAAAGTATCTAATATGAAGGAAAGGAGTTGACACCTCATTAATTTCAAATGAAATAATTAAAAAACTCCCAGCATTAAGCGAGAAGAAGAAAATATATGCTATACACGAAATGTAATGATGAAGAAGATCCAATCCAAGTGCTTGCTTTTTCATACTCAAATAAACTTCTCTCAAACTCTTCCTATTTGGAGAGAATGGATGAATATGATTGAAAAAATAAAATGTTAAATCCGCAACAAAATATCCCAAAGTCAATGCAATAAAAGTGTGTCGTGTTTTGAAAATTTCGAGATCAAAGGGTTGATTCATGGCATTTTCCAATCCAAAATGTAACATATCCAATCCAAACAAGTGAATTGTACACCAATAAGATCCCACCGTTGCAATCACTGCATGAATAAAACTCAATACGACTTGACTGTGATGAGCCTGTTCATACAGAGTGATCGATTTTTCAAAATATTCACAATAGAAAGGACCTCCAAATTTCAACAACAGTGGAATGATTACAATTCTCAACACAAAGTAAGCAAAAGTGAAGCAAGCATAAGAAAGGAAAGCCGTTTTCACATACAAATCAAACACTCCTTCTCCATATTCAGTCATGGGTTTAATGAGAGGTAAGGATTGTAGAATGTGTTCCGATACTGAAAATAGTGATTCCTTTCTTTGTTTTCGATCTTCAATTAAAGCCTTTGCCAATAAAGAAGAAGACTCTTGAGAATCGGATGATGAGGATGATGAAGAAACTGTTTTAAAATGATCATGATGATGGCCATGAAGATGCGGAAGTGGATTGTTGTTGATTTCTGAGAAAGGCTGCCCCGAAGTGATTGTGATGATCATCATCATGGAAAAGAAGAGAAAAAGAAGAGAGAAAGGGAATAATGTTGTTGTTCCTCTTCTTCTTCTTATCATCGGGAGAGACTTCATCATTTTTATTAAGTAAAACTGTTATTTATAACTTTGAAATGGAAACACGAATTCTGAATGATATTATGACTACCCGTTAATATAAATAATTGGTGATATTTAATGTGAAGGTGATATAGCTCAGTCGGTAGAGCGTTGGTCTAATAAGCCATTGGTCGTCGGTTCAATCCCGACAATCACCAATAGATTTTATTTTGTTGGTTGGGACAAAAACTCCAAGAACTACCATTCCAAGGACATCAATTCACGTGTTTCTGTTTTTACACAAAACCAAGTGACAGAAATTAATTTCTGTGAATACATTATTGATCAAGTCTACAATTTCATAACTGATTGGTATGTGACAATGCGTAAACAAAACGTTCTGAATATTATAGCTCAGGATCAAAAGACATTGAAAAAATTATGGTAGTCCTTAACAATGTGAACGTCAAACTTAGGTCCCCTTGTAAATACTTCGTAAGCCCTATGAATTTTAACTTTCATTCAGAATTCACTGTTAAATTCCACACTCGGACCCCTAAAGTTATGATTAAAAAAGTTAGTTGGGTAATTGAAAACGCTTGGTCACATACTTTCAATCTTAAGGAAATGAATGTGGTTTTTTCAGAAGAAAATGAAACCTACAAAGTAAGACTTACAGTTGGTACAAAGAATGATGTTGCAGTATGTAATAATACAAAACTGTGGAGAAATTGATTACTGAAGTTACAAATCACGTCTCATTCTTTTTTAGAGACAACTTCTCAGTACAGGATGCCAAAAGAATCATACCCAACAAATCTGTATTAAGGCTGGAATTCCCTTTGAAGAAAAGAAGCTCAAGATAGTTGAAAGACCTGCTAATCTTTTTCATAACGTCTCACATATTGCTTACTACGACACAAACAACAGAAATAATCTCTTAAAAAGTTTATTGCAACCTCTATGGTTGGATTTGGTTCAAAGTCCTATCCAAAACCAGTAAGAATCCAATTTACATCAATCACAGCTGAATTTCTTAGCAAAAAATACAAGTCCCATTCCGTTCCAACAAAGAAACAAGAATTGATAAAATATCCAATTTTATGAATGAATTTAAAGAAGTTTTAGTTGAGCACGAAAAGCGTTTTAATCTGATTCAAAAACAGTTGACGCGTATTATGAAAAAGCTTGATGATATGTCCAGGCAACCTCTGTCCCAACCCTCTATTCTCAGCTGCTAGAATGTATAAGTGACGAAGCGCTTGTGAATGATACCTGTTATCTGTCGTTGTCTGAGGGAAAACAGGATACAATGAACACAATAGAGCTGCAATCGATCGATCACTGTCAGAAACTCGTGATTTTATGAATAACCACAAAGAAAGGAAACCATGTTCACACGGCCATGATCCAATCGAGATTCGAACATTTAGCCGTAAACAGACACGTTTCTAAGATTCGACAACTGAACGTTTTTAATGGTTTGATCCCACTTGGGGTCAATCACACTTTCAATAAAATTTTATTTTTGTTGGTTGTCGTTATTGAACAATTTAGGAACTTGGTATATAATGAAATGAATAACTCTAAAGAAATGAATAATACACATGTAAATTTCTTTAATCACTCTGATAATCCTCATCCTCATCATCTTCAAATGAGAAATCCAATTTTTCATCTCCTAATAATTCACTCAAATTAACAGCACCTTCTGGAACTTCATATTTTGGATTATTTCTGGAGGCGCCTCCACCACCACTACTGCTACCTCTCGAATCATATTGAGCATTCTTTGAGGCATTATCGGATAAATTCTGCATGCCTGAACTTGTACTCGTTGAATAGACGATATTTTTCGACTTTTTAGTTTTACGTCTCTTGTTGGGTGGAGTTTTGTCAATTTTCCCAAAGATGGAAAGTTTGGCATTTGGATTAGTTTTGTCTTCGTATTCACTGTACATGGTTTCAAGTTTTTGTTCCATTTCTTGACGTTCCTTTTTAGAGAAATCATCTCGAAGTACAAGAAGATTCTATAAATATCAACAATCCATGTGTGTGAAAATTAACAAAATAATTAGAATCCATTGATTGGTAAAAGTTATATCGATATTAATAATCACAATGAACATCATTTTGAATAAATTTGTGTGTACGTACGTAAAGTAGATCGATAGAAATATCATCATAGGTATCAAGCATGTTTTTGATATTTTTCATGACGTCTTCAGATGTTTTTCTGAAAATAAAATTCAAATAATTTAATTGAAAAGAATGTCATTCATGAATCAAGTGACCAAATCATCATTTATGTGAAGTGGTGTGTGATTAAAATAGATTCATTCATTCATTCATAAATAAATGAAATCATAAATTGAGAAAGAACAAACTTACGCTTTCAAATGCATGAATACACTCTTCATCGCTTCATAATATTCATTAAAATCATCCGAATCCATTCTTGGTTCATTAAATTCTTTTCCTTCGACCTTAATGGATACTTCTGCTGTAAACAATCTCTTGATTAATCGAATATCTTCTTTCATTTGATTAGCAGCATGGAAGGGTTCTTTAAATTTAATTTTCGAGTTCAATAATTTTTCTAAATATCCACCCACGAACAATTCTGCAAGTTTTTCGACCAAAACATCTCTAAAATCTATTTCCAACAACTCTTCAAAATCTCTCATGTAAGGTTCGAAAATTAATTCCACAACTTTGTACACTGGACATTCTTTGAGGTATTCAATGAGTTCTTCTTTTTCGACCTTTTCGTCGGGAACGGTAATCCAATAATCTGTGAAAAGATCTTTCATGAGTGTGAGAGCATCTTTCATGACCACTTGTTCAGCGACAGTTTCAGCCATTTTGATGCCATTTCGTCGAAATTGTTCACGCAAGGTGTTGTAATCTTCTTCGACGAGATGTTCAGTTCGTTGTTCAATCACTGTTAAATAATCAACACTAGTGGTGTTGTTATTCATGAGAGCACATAGAACGACCAGTGGAATTTCAGTGACTAGTGTGGAGTGGTCATGCAAAAAAGTGTTAAAACACATCATGATGAGTATACATATCATTGAAAAAGACAATATTCACATGTGAGGAAATAGGATTGAGCAAATGATCCAAAGATGCATGTGAACCATTCATGAACATAAATGGATGTGAATAATTAGTTCGTATGAAAAGATTTCAAAAAGTGTTAAAAAACATAAAAAACTCGTACTTACTGTGTTCTTCAAATCTCTGATACGATGCATCAATGAAATATCTCAGAGCAGCATTTAAACCACTGATCGATGTTGGAATGATATCATCAATTCCTGTTTCTAACAATTCATCCAATTGTTGATTAATAAATGTGAAAACTTCCACACAAGCTGCTGTATATGGAAATCCTCTTGCATTCTCATTGAGTGGAACTTCTTCAAAGTTTTTAAAGTCCTGAGCAACTGTATTTCCTGTATATTCAATCATGAAGGTGGACCTGGTTCCAATATAATCTCCAATAATACGATTTCGATCGGTTGAGAAATCATAGGGTTTTTCAATCGCTTCATCCACTAAACTTGGATAGTCTTCAAGCCATCGAACAATTTTTAACTTGTCACCCATGGACAAACTATTGTAATATGGAGATTTTGGCTGTGTGAGTCCTTGAATGAATTTGATTAATTCCTCTTCATAGGCCTGTGCAAAAAATGGTAAAATATTCCAAGAAGGAGGGAAACATGTCACAACATAACGTGTCACACCAACATTTAACTTGTCACTGAGTAACATGTTGAGTCCTTGAATTTTATCGTCGGCACCTTTTGCTTCATGAACGGCTTCATTATACTTGTCAGCCACGTGTTGTCGCATTCTCTTGTAAAATTCTTCTTTCATGTTTCGCAGTTTGGGTTTTAAAATCAATTTTTCTTGCGAGTCGTTTGAGTCCGTAAGTCTCTTGTTACTCGTTCCTTGTTTCTTTTTTCGTTTGGCCTCTTCGAGTTTGTCTTCGTATTCGAGTTGTTTTCGTTGATCTCGATTTTCTTCTTTTTCGATAATTCTTGCAATTCTTACAATGGCTTCAGGTTCATTTTCTGCTGTGTATTCAATATCTGACAATCGAAGCCAAACGAGTTCTTCGAAACGATTTCTAATGTCATCAATCATGTTGAAAAATTTTTCAAAAATGTCATTGTAATCGGAACGAGTGATTTTTGCTTTCACTTCAGAGAGAGCATCGTCCTTAATTTCCTCCAATGCAATAATATCTGAATATTATTTTCATCATGGTATGATGTATATTGATTATCGATATTATTATGACAACCAACATTGAAGATGATTTTGTACCACCAACATAATATTGAAGATGATTTTGCACAACCAAAATAACATAAAGATGAATTTGCACAACCACCAACATATATACGTGTATAGGATGTGCAAAGAAATTGTGAATTTGTTGTGATATAATAAATCTTTCTCTCTTTTTGCGCACAAATTTCACACACCTACCTTCATGTGCACTCAACACATATTTATCATTTTCGTATGATAATTTTTTCTTAATTCTTCTAATTTGATCTTGTAAAATGGTCAAGGTCTCTAATTTCTCAATCGTCTTTCTCACATTATTGTGAGCTAACAAAATTTCACTCACAACATCATAATGTTCGATCAATTGCATGTTATTTTCTCCCAAATCTCGCATCAATCCAAAGATTGAATTTTCCACTCGTTCATCGAGTTGTTCTCTCACATCACCTCGAATTTGTTTGATCAATTGAATGGCTTGATCCGCTTCTTCAATTTGTGTCGAGGACAAGGTCGACACTTGAGTTTCTAATTTTTCTACTTGTTTCTGAGTATTCGCTTTCAAATCTGCGAGTTTTTCCAAGTCTTGTGGAGTCTCCAACAATCGACAAATACTCTCAATAGCATTCTGTTGTGATGATTTTTTAATAATTGACACAAATATATTTTCTTCTTCATTTTCTTCTTGTTTTCCATAAATGGATGGAATGATAAATTGTAAAGTATTTGAAGTGAGTGTCGGAGAAGTACTATAAGCTCCTTCATTCATCATGGCATTGTATTCTTCATTATTGATGGGAAGATTCATTGTGAGTGGAGATTCGGGATTTGTAGGTGGTGTTTGATCTCCACTTGTCAGAAGAGCATTGGAGAGAAAATTGTTTGATTGATTCGGAGAAGAGGAATAACGAGAACTTGTGGAAGAGGAGATGAGAGAGGAGAGGTGTTCTTTATGTGATTGACGGGACATGATGATTTGATCGACCACAGAGGTACGTCTGTGTTCTTCGCTGTTTCTTCCAAGCATTTTTTTTAAAAATTGGTTGAGCATTTTCTGACAAGTGACGTTGGTGCAAAAATTCACTCAGATGATGAGGAATTTCAGCAAGAGTTGAGCGAGCTAGGACCAATAATGGTCCTTAATTGATTTCATTCATTGAAACTTTACTCTCTTCCCACATTTTTTATGGACAGAAAAAAAAACAAAAAAAATGAAACGAGTCTTTTATGTCGATTCTTTTGCCATCCGACAATTTCAAAATGGTTACAAGGGAGGAACGTTTATTCCCATGTCTTGGCAAGCCTTTGAAGAGTACGTGAATAAAGAAGTCTCAACGGGAAAATACACATTGAAAGATGGTTATGCTCCTTTTTGTAAACACTTGTTTTTATTGCAAACTTCGGAATTTGCAGGTTGTAAGCAGAGTTTTCTTGAAATTACAAAAGAAAATGAACATTTGATCCGAACGGAATATCAACAAAGAAAAGAGAATGAATTACCGGTTTTGACTCGATTTTTCCCTCAGGAATTAGTGGCAGATCAAATTAAAGAAGCAAAATATTTGGACATCATTCTTTATTCGAAGGAGCAAATATTGAGAGAGGCAGAAGCTATGAATGAAAAGAGCGACTATGATAAGAGACCTGAAATTGCAGATTGTGAATGGGGAATTATTTCGGTCAAATCTCAAGACGTTGATTATGAATTACCAATGTCGCCAATTACAATGATGCGTAATGCATTGGGTAAAGAGGAAGGAGGATCAGGTGTACCTTTGAATCGAGACAAGTATATGGAGTCTGTAAAGTTTTGGAAACAATATGCCATTATTGCTTAAGTGCAGTGTCCGTGTCGAAATGGTGGCATTTCCATATGTTTGCAAATTGTTTAATTGTTTTACCCAAAACCCGCCAAAATTATTTCAAACACACACAACACTCAAAAAAATACAACATTTCCTTCCTTTGAATTGACTTGCACATACAAATGCAACAAATTGACTCGGAATCCACGGTCATGACTTCCGAGATGGAAGCAAAACGAACAAAACTCTTTGAACGAATGCAACAACGAAGTGAAGAAATTAAAAGTAAAAGAGCTCAAGAGAATAAGGAGAATCCAGCACTGTTTTGGAAGGAATTTAATGAGAGAGTAGAACAACAGCAATCGGCTCATGAGTTACAATTGTTTTTGAATCAACATGTACACTATCTTCCGAATTATGATGTTCGGAAAGCAGATGAAAAAATTAAGAAAATGCAAGAAGAATTGAAAAAGGACAAGAAGGTCTTTTCATTTAAAAAGAAAACCACCACTCCCTCCTCGAATACATTCACACCTTCCACGCCTGTGTCATCGGCATCGTCGTTGACACCCTCTTCTTCATCATCGGAGGATTTAAAGATGATGACCTCATCATCCTCAGGTGTGAAATTGCCAGAGACGAACAAGACTGTCATTGATTTGAGCAATTTTGATAAGACTAATTCCAATGTACACAACGTAGTGCCAACCAAAGAGAAGGAAAGTTTTGCAATTTGTAATGGAGTGAATCAAACAGTATTCATTACAAATATTATTGGAGCTGTATATATTTCAAGTTTACAAAATTGTACCATTTGTATTGGACCAGTGTGTGGTGCTGTGTTCTTGTCGAAATGTACAAATTGCACATTCCAACTTGCATGTTGGCAATTGAGAATTCATGACAGTGTCAATTGTACATTCCTTATTTGCCCAAAGAACAATCCAATTATTGAGAATTGTAGTGGTCTCAAATTTGGAAAATATAATTTTTCCTATGAAGGAATTCAAGAACAATTTAAATCATGCGACATGTCACTCGATGATGAAAGCAAGAATAAGTGGAATAAGGTTCATGATTTTAATTGGTTAAAACCAAACGAGCCAAGTCCAAATTTTGTTCTCCTCAATCAGTAAACATGTGTCTCATCCCTAGATCTCCAAAAAAACCATTAATAATTACACAACAGCCATGTTTTTTACATGAAGGGTTTCTTTCATTCACCCCATCACTTTAATACAAAAAAAATGAAAGAAATCCTTCTCTCGCCAGAAGACGCCTCCAAACCCGAACTCACTCAATACCAAGTCAATACCATCTCTGCATTGGAATATGAAGTCGTTGCACGATGTGGACCCAAGGCTCGTGTTGGAAAATTGAAATTACCACATCATTTGGCAAACACACCCATTTTCATGCCCGTCGGAACCCAAGGCACCGTGAAAGGCTTAACCTCTCAGCAATTAGAAGAACTCGGATGTGAGATTATTCTCGGTAACACTTATCATTTGGGATTGAGACCTGGACCTGAGATTCTTGAACATGCCGGAGGACTTCATAAGTTCATGAATTGGAAGAGAAATATATTGACTGATAGTGGAGGCTTTCAGATGGTTTCATTACTAGATTTAGCGGATATTACAGAGGAAGGAGTGAATTTTCAATCACCTCATGATGGAAGTCAAATGTTATTAACTCCCGAACAATCAATGGCCATTCAGAATAGTATTGGAGCTGACATTATGATGGCCCTGGATGATGTGGTGAGTACAGTCTCTACGGATATGGTCCGATTTGAAGAAGCCACATGGAGAACACTCCGATGGATTGACAGATGTATTGCAAGTCATAAGCGACCGCACGAACAGGTGAGTCTTCACAAAATTTGCTTCATTCTAATCCACGTCAACATTTTGGAATCAATCGTTCTGCTTCTGGAAATATGTGTGAATATTACCTTGTCATGACATCTTTTTTTTCTTCATTGCTTTGATCATAATACTGATTAATTCCTTGTCATGTGACATCACTCTTTACATCCAATCAATTTTAATTGGTTGATGAATTTTATATTATGATCAATTGCAATAATGATCATTGCATATTTTGATGAATTTATCATGAATCTACTGGTGCAACATGCATGAACTATATGATCACACCCATGTGAAAAAATATTGAATTTTATATTATGCCTAAACTAAAATATGCAGAACCTGTTCGGAATTGTTCAAGGAGGTCTCGATGAAAGACTTCGAAAAATATGTTTGGATGGCCTTGTTAAACGAAATTTACCAGGTTATGCCATTGGTGGTTTGAGTGGAGGTGAAGAGAAGGATAAATTTTGGAGAGTGGTATCAATGTGTACAGATTATTTGCCAGACAACAAACCAAGATATTGCATGGGAGTGGGATACCCTGAAGATTTAGTAGTGTGTGTGGCCCTAGGTGTAGACATGTTCGATTGTGTGTATCCGAGTCGAACTGCTCGATTTGGCACAGCTCTAGTTGCAGATGGTGGAACATTGAAAGTGAAATCAAATGCATATCGAATGGATTTTGGACCTTTGGATCCTCAATTAGAGTCGTCATGCATGGTCGATGAATGTTATTCTAGAAGTTTTTTACATAATTTGTGTAAAGTGGAACAAACAGGCTCACAATTAATGACCTATCACAACATTGCATTCCAAATGAATTTAATGAAAAATGTGAGAGAATCAATCGTGAATGGATCATTTGAAAAGTTCGTGAAGGATTTCATGTTTTTATATTTTAAAAAGCAGAAATATCCAGAATGGATTGTGAATGCACTTGCTTCTGTGGGAATTAATTTATAACTTTTTGATTCACACTCTTAAAGATGGAGCATGCCCATCACATTGCACCATATCACCATACCTCTAACACTACTACATTGACATAAATTATTATTGATCAAAAAAGACAATTCATCATGATGAACGGTCATTAATGAATGACACCACCTTTTAAAATCGTTCACACAGCCCGAAGACACCAAAAGTTCAAAAAAAATAAGCACTCCCTTTTTTTTGCTGAAACTCTTTCAGATAATAATAATTTTTAGTTCAACATCATAAAATAGTCATTATATTTGAATCATCATCACTTGTTATCATCTGAGAGAAAGAAGAAAGAATCAAAATTCAAAACAACACATTCATCAACCAACATTAGAAATATATTTCTCCTACACACAGTATCATTCAAATCATCTATTTATTATCATCATCATGTTGAAGAGAAAGAAGGGAGACCAAAGAACGTTTGCAGACTTAACCCGAACAGAAAAGAGGAAAAAAGTTGAAACCCGAACACAAGAGAATATCCACGATGAAATTAGAAAATCTGCCAAACAAAAGAAGGAAGAATTGAAAGAGGCTGAAATTGCTTCCGTTCCTCGTTCCATCATTGTAGTGAGAGGAAAGTATAAACCCGAACCAATCCGGCATTTGTGTGCAGATTTGAGAAAAATCATGATGCCATACACTGCTAAAGAGTTGAATGAGAGTGGTTCCACAAAAATTGTGGATTACGTTGAATTTTCAAAACAAGCTCATGTTACTCACTTAATGACTCTGACTACGAGCATTTCAATGGCTGCCTTGAATATTTGTAGACTTCCAAATGGTCCTACTTTGACTTTTGAAATTCAAAATTATTGCACCATGAAAAATTTGAGAAGTTTCTTCCATAAGGAGTTGAATCATCAAATATCGTGTGATGAAGCAAGTTATTTTAAAGATCCAGCAATTTGTATTTTGAATAACTTTACAAGTACTGAGAGTCATGTTCAACTCATGTCCTTAACATTTCAAAATATGTTTCCACCTGTGGATGTGAAATCATTCAAACTTTCTCATGTTAAAAGAGTGGTATTATTTAACTATGATGAAGAAGATGAGACCATTGAAATGAGACATTATGGCATTAAGAAAAATTCAGATGTCATTACTCCATTCAGAGCGAATACCTTAAAGAAGAATGTCTCTAAGAAATTAAATGAAGTGAGAAAGAAACTCGATCGAGCCAAAGAAGAGTTGCAAGCGCTCTATAAAAAGAGAAAAGACATGAAACAAAAACTAGGAAAGAAAGCCGATGAGAAGTTGTTGGATAAAGTCAACAAGGTAGATGATCTTTCTGATCCCTATGTGAGTCTCGAAGCTGATATTGCTTTACAGGAAAAGACTGTCTTGCAATATTCTGAAAAGGAAAAGCTCTACAAGAAGGAATTGGATGAATTGACTCAGGTGAACCAATTATCGAATCAATCCTCTTCTAACTCGACAGCAGTAGTTTCCTCAAATGTGCCCACTATGAATAATTTCCAAGCAGAATCTATTGAGGTGGATGACATGTTTGAAGCCAATAGTAGAACCAAAGTCAAGATTCGTCTCGAAGAAGTCGGTCCAAGATTGACTCTCAAGTTGCGCAAAGTTGTGGAAGGAGTTTTTGCAGGTGAGACCATTTATCACTCTGTTTTTGAAGACAAGCCAGAGCATGTGAAGGAGGCAGAAAGACAGGAACGCGAGGAAAAGAAGAAGCTGAAAGAAGAACGAAGACGACAACAAGAAGAAAATGTGCAAAGAAAGAAGAGAGAAAAAGAGGAAAAGGTTGAAAAGCAAAAGGAGGCCTTCTTGAAAAAATTCCAAGAATCTCTCGAACAAGATCCAGACCTCTTGAACAATAACGAAGGAGAAGTTGATCAAGACGATGGTGACAATGACGAACTCGATATGGACGACATCATTACTGAAGGTCTTGATGATCAAGAGGATGAAAACGACGAAGAAAATGACGAGGAGAATTTCCAAGATGAAGAATAAACTCATTGAGTGTCAAGTTATTGAAAAATAAGCTCTTTGGTTCACACTGTCGTCTCATCACATTTATTCCAAATTCGATTCATCGAATGAATGTTTGAATGATGTGTCTTGATTGGTGCTGTAGGCTGATGCTAAGGATGTGAGGCCCAAACCATTCTTCATGTATTATTCACCCAATTCTCGAAGTTTTTGAACTTTTTCAAAACTGGAACGGTCGATGATGTCATGTGTGTTATTGATGAATTCTAAATGGCAAAACCATTTACTTTCTTTTGGGATGTAACAAAGCTCCAAGCCATACACCCTTGTAAAACGTGGCAAAGCCCTTCTTGGTTTGAATTTTTCTGAAACATTCCACTGGATTGGCAAAGGTCTTACCCATGTCAGCTCTGTATTTGATCATGGTGAAATGGAGTGGCGCAGTGATTGCTTCGTGAGCAATCTGCACACAAATATTTTGGGTCGACTCCAAAATGAACAACTGGTCACCTGGGAGATATGCTTTTGCCATCTCCAAATTCTGTGTGCCCACTACTTTCTTCAAGCACCAATTTGTGAAATATTTGAGACCACTTCGAACCAAATTGGAAATTAAGGTTTCCAATACATGCCATCCAAACCCGTGATATACAACACGTTCCTTGTACATTTGTTTAAGGGTTGGAATGCATCGAAGTGACTTGTCACTCTCGTTTGTGCCGATCGTTTTGTTTTCAATCTTCTTTTTTACAATGACAAGTTGAGCATTATCAAAGGGATAGGTCATTGCAAGAGAAAGAGGCAATTCCAATACTGCAACTGCTTGTTTCACAATATTTGGAATGGATGTATTTTGAGAATCCAAAATACGATCAATAATTGTCGACCGGATAGCAGTCTCAAAAGTAATGGATGCAGCCAACATCAACATCGAGGCAGTGAAATCTTTCTCTGCATTTTTAAATCCCACTAACGCAAGCCATCCTTCTTCTCTCTTCACTCTCTTTAAATAATCCAACAATCCACCTTCTCTAAAGTAGTCATCTTGCAAAATTATTCTTCTTTTGTGATGAGCCAATAAATAGGAAACCACTTCATACCACACCGACAATGCACTCACTACTAATTTAGTTCTTGCTGAGAACACTTGGAGTGTCTTGAGTCGTGCAATTTCTTGGGTGGAGAAGGTTTGTTCAGTATTGGTAGTGATCTCCGAAGAAGACTCCCCCTGAGCACCTCCACCACCAAATGTTTGAGTAAAACTAACAGTAACAGTTGTTGTTGTGGTGGAAGTTGGTTGTGTAGAAGATAAGGTTTTTGTGGTACTCATCGTTGTTGACAGACTTTCACCTAGTCCACCCGATTGAAGCCAGTACCGAATTTGTCTTGCCAAAAAGCTTCCACTCTTTCCTTGTGGATCCGAAGAAGCCTCTCCTCCAAACAGAAAATTAGAGAGAGCAATTCTTCGTTTTCTAATTTCGGATGAGGAACCTCCTCTTTCTATCCACGAAGTAAGCTTGGAAAATTTACTCTTCTTGTCCTTCTTCTTGTGGGATTTTCCGAGAAGAGCCATGATGATCATGATCTATGTGATGATCTATTTTTTTTTAAAGTAATAATTAATCGAGGAATGAAATTACCAAATTAAGATCCTATCCATCATCTGAAAAACTGTAAATGTTTTTCATTCATATTACGATTTTCACTGAACTTCAATGGAGGTTAAAAAGATAAATATCTATTGGAAAATGAAAACCTTATTGCATCTTCTTCTTTTGGATTGGTCTTTTGAATCTTTTCACAGTCATGCAACAACACATCATTCCCACTACTGGAATTACCACCAAACTCAACACCACCCACATCATGATTAAAATACCATAATTTCGTAGTAACAAATAGATAGAACCCAGCCATGACTGTTCCATTTCCAATTCCTTCTCAATCAGTCGTTTCATTCGTGGGAGAATTTCCAATTTCAAACGTTCTTGTTGTTGTTGTCTTTGGTTCACATTCATTCGTGATTTCTCGACAGATGCTCTTTCATCCATTCCCATCGTCTTTGTCGTTGTTGTCATATTGGTTGTTGGATGGTCATAAAGATGATCATTCAAGTGAAGCCACTTCTCCATGTCATCCATTAATTGTTCAGCTCCATTCGCTTTCAACAATTCGAATTGAATCAATTTCAGAGAATGTTTCATTCGCTCCAAAATGGTTTCATTGCAAATAATTTGTCGTAAATGATTTCATGACGAAACTCTTCTGGATCCAATAACAATCCACCACCAACTTTCTGAGCACTGTATCCATTGAATGCTCTTTCAAACATGTATCCAGAGTTGACCAAGGTGGGAACTCCAAAGTAGAGACTTTGAACGACAGAGTTGGCTCCTCCGTGACTCATGGTGAGTTCACTAATGGCACTCAATTCGTCACCATTGTACCAATTGCTGAAATGTGTGTAATTGAGAAGAGTGTAAGGTTTTTGAATGGATGAATGAGCTACGTAACAATGATAGAGAGTGGGAGGTGACACACCATTCGATTGTGACACCACAGCATTGAGAAAATAGGACATGTATGAAGAATGTCGTCCCTCTAAAATTGGAGTTGACAATGTCTCAATGATTGGCACTTGTGCTAAATGAGCCGCCAATAGAGAGGAAATGTCAATTTCATACAGCATTGCCGCAGGTTGTACTTGTTCCATAATTTGCATCTTTTCGAAAACAATCTTTCGTAAAGTGGTTCCCTGTCCAAAACCCATCATGATTACAAATCTCCAACAAATCGTGTGCCTAACAATTTTGGAATTACTGCAGGAATTTCTGTGTTTGCCGTTGCATCGAATGTAGAATTACCTTTTTGAGAATTGCCTAATTTGGATTCAAAGAACCAATCATGAAGGAAGTGTGGTAATGAAAAGAGTGTTGGTTTGGTTCGAGTGTGGAAAAACAAATCATTGTCACTCCATGTCCATGGCTCATCCTCTCGTCGTTTCTTTTTTAAAATCTTTTCAAGAGAGTCCTTATAGTGCAAACCACTCATCCATGCCACTCGATAACTTCTTCGTCGTGCTTCCGAAGCAGTTGACACAGCAGGAACGAAATTGCCATACGCTGCATTATCGACGGGAGGAGAGAGAATGGAGAAGAGAAGAGTTTTTGGAGTGGAAGTCGAGGATGATGAAGCTTGGCAAGGTGAAAGACGAAGAACCCCTGAGAAGAACAAGGCAGTGAGGCCAATGATCAATGATAATGACGTTGTGGAATTCATGGGATTGAAATGGTGCGAGAAGGAGATTTCAAACTTAATATTTTTTAGAATTGAATTTGTGCTGGGACGGAAGCGGTGTGAAGAGTTTAAATCCTCTTCGGATTGGTGGTTCCTTAATTCGCACATTTGGCGGTGATATACAACTACTAGTAGAGCTTGCCACATGCGCACTTTTTACTCAACTCATATCGGTGGACATGCTAATTTGCCCTTCTCATTCTCAACCTTAAAGATGAATTCTTGATTCATATTGTGATATGATAAGATGTGAATGATTCACAAAAAAGGGAGGAAAGAGTTCATCGGTCATACAATCATCAGCTCAAATCAAACCCGTATATATAATATCTTACCAAAACATCTGGAGATAGAAATTACAACAAAATCTGGCGCGGGATAATAATGAACTTTCATTCGGAAAGCGACCCTATTTCACCTAAGAATACAACACGATCGTGCATTCCATACACTACTGCTGAGCAACAATGTCTCTCAATACAGTATACAAACACAAATAGCTTGATGACCCATTCATCGGCCATAGGTACCATTCATCATGATCTCAAAAAGGTCCCTAATGAGGAGTCCCAAACGCATGAACGCTGATGCTCCCTCCTGTTGCTGCAGCAACTTCCAAACATGGTCTTGTTCATGTTGTTGTATGACTCGCTCTTGCGTGTGTGTGTGTGATTTGACGTGCTGATGATGCTGATGCCAATCCACAAAAAAAAACCATCCTATCCCTCTTTCAAAGGGAATTCAAACCGGCAAGATCTTGCATCTCTCAGAAATCACTCGAGTCAATATATTGAGCGCAGTATTCTGGAGAAGGAAAGCTATCCTCAAGATCTCTTCTTCATATTTGGAATCCAATACCTTCTTTTCGTGCTGATTTATTACAGCGTCGAATTCTCACAGAGACTCTCCTCCATTTCTTCCTTTATTGGATTCTTCTTGCAATCAAATTCTTCTTTGCCGACATTTGCATTCATCGGAGTGTGCTGGCTCCACGATCGCTCCATTTCTCTTCCTATACTTTGTCGGATTCCTTCCATCCACCATTGATTGCCATTTTTCAACCCGAAGCCGCTGAGTTTTCTTTTACAAATCTATATTGAAGAGACGAAGAAAAGTGGAAGACTCTTTTGAACCACCACAAACAATAACCAAACAACCTAACAACCCAACAGCAACAACATTGTTTCTCTCTCTCTCTCTCTAATAAGGCACGGTCGGGGTCGGAGTTCAAAACATTTTTTAAAAAAAACAACAAACACCAAACACCAAACAACAACAGCGACCACACATTTGCCGAATTCATTCTCTCTCAGAATTGTGTTTGAGTTGAACACCAACTCTCGGAGGAGATCTATATTCGTCGTTGATAGCCTTTTTTTTCAACTACTCGTCAAGGAGCCCTTGTTTCTTTCAAACAACACGCGTAGTTTCGGTAGTAGTTTAGTTTCAACAATGCAAACAGTAGAGATTGCACTTGAGATGTGTGATTGCACTTGTTCATGGATGGAGAGTTTCCCTTCAGCATCAGCATCATCAGCAGCTTGTTCAACAATGGCGTCTTTGTCGTCGTCTTCTTCTTCTTGCAATAGCAGGACGACGACAACGACGACAACAACCACTCATTTGTGTTCCTGTCATTTAGTCATTCAAGTGGTCACTTCAACAGTTTCAAATCCTCCTCATCATTTGGATGATGACAATGTTGAGGAAAGGAATCAAAATTCTCTTAAAGAAGATAGAAATTGTTGCTTTGAAACGACCATCACGACCACTACCATTCATCCTCTCACTAGTGATGCATCTTGTTCATCTCCGAATTGCGATCGTAATGAAGAAGAAGACGACAATGAACACGACAAGGAGGATGAAAGAAATGAGAACTCGGAATTGCATTATTTCATCTCAGGTTCGTCCTCCGAAATGCAATCCTCAAGTCAGTACCAACATCATGAATCAGCTCATGAGGAACAAAATTCATGCTATTATTATGAACCACCGATGGAGAGTGCAAAGGATTTTATTTTGGATGCTCCGATGACCTTCTTCCATTCAAGGTGCCAAAAAGAGTCTTCTTCAACGACCGTTCAGAGCTCTTCACAGCTCAAAGCAGCACCTCATCATCACATGACATCACTTCCATCCTCTTCTTCAACTCTTCTTTTAGATCACATTCAAAACTGTGTTGTGGAAATTTCTGACCACGACGCAACAAGCAAAAAATCTCTCTTCAAACATCCAGAACGAGTTTTTACTTTATTTAATGTCACTTCCATTGTATTTATGGTCACATTATTACTTGATTTTTATGGACCTCTCTTTTCACCTTCATTTCTTTTTCAAACGATTGCAGTATGCGTTTTTGGAATGTATAGTGTCTACAATCGAAGACAAGCCATGATTTCATTCTATGCAATTTTTATTTCAATTTCATTTGCAATTACTCTTTCGGAAACTTTATTACTCACTTGTTATGGTCATAGCAGTTCGGGGCTCATTCTTCATATAAGTAATTGGTTTCATTTGATTCGATTCTTATTGACCTTGGTACTTTCTCTGTCATTATTGATTGCTTCATTTCATATTCGAGTGGAGGTCGCTCGATTGAACGCACTCCGACGACAATTTATTGCGTCATGCTTTGACAATAATGGATATGGCATGAAGAAGAATTATCAGATACCACTGTTACAACAAACGCATTTTGAAGCTCACCAAGGTGAAGACTTGTTTGTAACACAGAACAAGGTGTGACCAGGCCTTTTCCAACTTGGTGATTGGCAAACATTTTCTCCTCTTTCTAATGTAAAAAACATGAATATCCTTCCTAACTTTCAATCCATGTGCATTTCCTCTCCAAATGTGTACAAAACAACACGAAATGTATGAAAACTTAACGCCTTCCTCAATGTAAATAATACGTATCTCCCAAAGTGCAAACAATGACTTATAAAATAAAATTGTGTTTCATCCTCAAACCCTTATTTTTTTGTTGGGAGTTGCAACAATGAGGGCAATCGTAGAATAGGAACGAATCTGATATTGTTAGAGCAGAAATTACTTCGTATGTTGTATTTATGTACATTCATTTCATAATGTTACATCTTTTTAACAAAGAGAGGCAATGAAGACAATGGTTGCCCCTTGCAAAATTGGCTCTCAAACAAATAGGACACAAACTCAAAATGCTGATCAAAAACTCTCAGAGTCAACAAATAGCTCTCCTCATCTACAGCGCCATTAAATCCGCTGCAATCATACTTCACCTTCAAATAATAGTGATAAACGGAGCATGCTTCGTCTTTAATCTCTTGGTGATACCTTTGAAGCCAATCCAAGAGTGCACTCTTTGCACTTGTTGGATCTGAACACACAAGATTCAGCTCTTCGTTCTGTAGATCGGCTTTCTCCGGTGAGAGCAGGTGGCAAGTCACAAATAGCAACTCCGATCGGTCATACATTGGTCCACAACACGTCAAAAGTAACAACTTCAAAAGATATTGAAGAACAAAGTCGATTTTGAGAAATCCTAATTTTTGCAACTCACAAATCCATAAAGTCATGGACTTGTCAAAACACTCACACAATGAAGGATCTGCACCTTCAATGGATGGACACTTGTTACTGGAAGTATCTTTGACAAATTGTGACATTTCTAAATAACATTTTTCAATATTGGCAGTAATTTGGTTGGATTTTTCGGTAATTGCATTCTTGTCTAGTAAGGCGAAATTTTCAGATTCAACTCCATCACCGGCTCCTGCACAGATGTACTCTTCCTTCATTTTGGCAAGTGAGAAATGAGAAAAATATCGAATAATGCGCTCACGAACAAGTTTGGGTTTCTCATGATGATGTGCTAATGTACTTGTGGTGACATCTGAAGAAGGTATCACTCGGTCTTCCATCGTCGATTTGTTCCTATCAGCCACTCCGTACACGAAAAACCAATTCGATTTAAGCTCCTTAATCATATCTGCAAGTGTTTGCGCATTTCCACGAAGTAAAGTATTCGTTGGAGAGGCAGAGGAGAGAATGGGTGAACTTGGAGACAGCAACATTTCATGATGCAGCATCTTCTCGGGAGAAATTTCCAAATATTTTGAGGACGATGCTGAGCTTGCATATGAGCTCGTCTCTCCTAAGGGTCGTGCCTGTGTACCAACCACAATGGACGACACAAGCTTGCGGCCTCCGGATGGTAACGGCGACATGGAGGGTGAAATGCTGCCATTTGACAAATTCAAATATTGTGATGAATGATAAGGTTGCAACTGCGTGTTGTTCGAGTCAAATGAACCCTCACCATGATTAGTGACAGTTGGCTTGAGTTTTAGCAAGACTTGAACTCGATGTTGAAATTCGCCATCCTTCTTCTCGATGCTACGTAAACATCTCTTAGCCAAGTAGAGATAAATTGGACAATCAAAGCAGCTGTAAGGTGAAAACCATGCGGGACTACTCAATCGATAAAACATATTGGACTTATCGGTTTGGCCCAGTAATTCTGGTACCTCAGGTTTCACAACCTCCTTAAACACGGCTCTATTAAAAATCTTTTCCTTATGTAAGGATCTTTTATAGAGGCCAAATAGGACCACAAGTGCTCTCTTAGATATTTCCATATTATTCAAATTCCAAGCAATTTGTGTTGCTAATTTGATTTGTAAATCACTCTTCTCTTCCCACACTTGAATACTCGACAATAATTGAGGAAGAAAATAGATGAGATTTTCCCTCGAGTGAGAGATTCTCAAATGCCAACTCTTGCATACCAAATCACACGAATGCAAAACATCTTTCAGTGAGAGAAAACCTCCGAGAATAATTGCTCTGAAAATGGCCTCATTGGGCGAGTTGGTGAGTGCAAATGATTTCTCGTCGTTGTTGCGATCCAAATTGTTGAGGGCAAGTGTTGCCCCGATATTGCTATTGGAAGAAGCTGTAGAGCTGTTATTAACGCTTGCCATCATGGAGGTGGAAAGATTTAGAGCATCACTATTAATGACATGAACGACATTGGGACTCAACTCATCGGAAGGTTTCTGATCTAGGTCATTAATTAGAGAATCACCAACATCGGCATCAGAAGAGGATGATGAGGAATCTTCAGAGATGACACTGATCGCCACTGGAGAATTTGGAGATGGCATTCGATTACCATTGTTCATCATGAGGAGAGAAGAGGTTGATAGTGAGGGAGTCACTACAGTTGTGCTTGATGTGGTTGTTGTTGTCATGCTCGGAGTGGTTGTTGTCGAGGAAATATTTCCCGTCGTAGTAGCTGTAGTGGGTGGAGTTGTGGTTGTTGAATCAAGAGCTTTGCTGTTATTCAAAATATTATTTCCGTTGTTGTTGTTGGTGGTGTTGTTCGTTTTCACCGAACTATTATTAAGCATATCATCTCCAGCTGCAGTATTGAGACAATTTGAGTTATTGTTCGTGTTCAATGCGACAATATTATTATTACTAGTTGTTCGGGAAGCAACGAGAGAGTGTGCTGACGAAGTGGTCGATGATGGTGTTCCAATTCCTCCTCCTCCATTATTATTATGATTATGATTGTGATTGTGATTCGAACTACTACCTGTACCACTTCCATTCTGAACCACACACAATAAATCTCTCCACTTTTTCCTATTCAAAACTTCAATTAATTGTTGTGTACCACTTGGCCTCGGAACAGCAGTATTACTGGATGTTTGCGACATCATCATCATGGGGGATGAAATGGCTGAACTATAATCTGTTGTGGATGCGCTAGGGAAAGCATAATCCAAATTGGACGATGAAATAGTGGTGGTATTATTATTTGTACTATTGTATTGAGTAGGAATAGTGGAGGAGGATGTGAGGTTAAATTTTTGTTGTTGAGAAGATGACAAATGAGGCTCACTAAAGCCAGCCGAATGATGATGGTGATGAGAATGGGAATGGAAGGAAGAAGATGGAGAAGGTGTATGAACGGAGCCTGGTGTGTTCCCGAGTTGCTGTTGTTGAAAATACAAGGTCGATGAGGACGAATGATGATGATGCTGTGGCAACGAAGGCGATGAAAGAGATGAGGACGAATTGGGAGAGAAGAGGACAGGTGGAGAGGTGGGTGAGGAAGGTGGTGATGCACCGAGCATCATCATGTCTGCAAAGAGTACGGTGGAGCCAATGGTGGGAGTTTCATGACTGTTATTGGGCAGAAAAACAGGAGAGGAGAGCGGTTGACTCGAACGCCTCAGAGAAAGTCTTCGGAAGGCATTGGACATGGAAGATCGTCGTTTGGGAGGTGGTGGAGAGGAGATGGTATTGATGTTGTTGTTGTTGTTGCTGCTACCTGAATTTGAGCTTTGGACACGGTGAGGTGATCCAAGACCATTGAGTGATGATGATGATGGTTGTTGTTGTTGTTGTTGATGAACGTGCTCCATCACATTGGGACTACTCTTGGTTTGATTTCCATTCTCACCTGTGAGTGATGAGGACGAGAGAATGCTGGAGGAACTGTTCTGTTTGGAGGTAATGGGTTGAGGTGAGAGTGGTGGTAGTGGTTGAGAATGATGATGATAGTGTTGTTGTTGTTGCTGATGCTGATGCTGAGAAAACAACATGGATGAAAGTGTAGAGCTGCTCGTCACTGCATCATGAGCCTCTCCTAGACTAGGATCGGCCCGATGTTTGTTATTGGTTACAAAGAGAGAGAGTGAACGAGATGATTTTGAATGAACATCAGAAGTATTGTTTGTATTTGTTGTGGTGGAGGTTGAATGTTTTTCTCTCTTCTTCTTGTTGTTGTTGCTGTTGGAAGAATCAATCATGTCGTCCACAGACCGATTGTTCTGACTGCCAGGAAGAAAGTTTTTGAAAAGTGCTTTCATAATGCTTCACAACAATATATTGTTGATGATGTTGTTGTTGTTATTGACAAGATATATAAATTGATTGTTGCTTGCTCTAATATGATGATGACAGAAAAGGGGATCACCAACACAGTCTAAATATCTCTGATATTACACAGATCAATTCAATCCAAACAAATGTTGCACGCAGCTGCGTGATGGAAATCAACAAGACAGGATGAAAGTAGTCTCTGTTGTTTTTCGAGTGCTGATGTTGTTGTTGTAGCAACAAGTTTATTTCTCTCTGATGATGATAATCAAAAGGATCCTCAGAAACCAACGCCAAGTTGACCAAGCCAAAGGAGCAGGAGTTTGAGAGGAAGATACAGAGGTGTTGTTGTTGTTGATGCTCTTTTGTTGTTGTTGGTACTCTTGTTGGTGGTGAGCCTTTGTTGAAGAAGCAAAGAAAGGAAACAAACACCAACACAAAGAGAGATGATTCAATCGGTATTGTAGTTGAGTCTGTTTGTTCTGTGGCTGTTGTTTTCTTCTTGATGATGTGATAAAAACTGCAATGGAAACGAATTGGTGGTTGGACGACGAAAACGTTGGATTGCACCAAGTATAGTAGTTGTAACAATCGTGATGTTGTTGTTGGGAGATGCGGTTGTTGTGGTTCTTCTTCTTGTTTTTGCTTTTGACAAGTGTTGTTTGCGAGAGAGTGAACGCACAACTCCAAAACAAACTCGTTGCCTCCTTCTGTGGTTGTTAAAGTAAACAACAGCAAACGAGAGTGACAATTTGTTTCTTTGAAATTTTGGAAGATTGATGTTTTACCGCTTCTTGTCTTGAATTAAAATGGCTCGAAAATGAATGTGGCTGTGACTTTTCATTTTTGGTAACTTGTCAAATTGTATTTAGGGCTGCAAGAGTGGGAGAGGATGAAATTATGTTAACACTCCCAAAACGTTGGAGATAAACTAGTTTCTAATGCCAAAGAGGAGTTTTCGCAATATGTTGGTGTTGAACTCCCAACACAATTTAATTATTGCAGAAAAAATTTGGCGCCCATTTTGTAGTTTGAGATCAGCAAAAAACTAAAAAAATACCTTGAAACCATGCCTCCTGCGACTGCTTCTAAGGAAGAAAAGGAAGATTCAAAAATTACTGATGAACGACAAGCATGGATTGAAAAAACTGTGAGGAATACATTCAGAGTTTCAGAGAAGGAAACAAGAAAACTTTTGGAAACTGATGAATATAGGTAAGTTCATGAAAATGGAAGGGCAACTCTGATTAATTCGTACGATTGTTGTATTGTTGATACAATGGTGTTAATGGTCTGAAACACCTCGTTTTTGATGCTCATTCACCCATCACCTTGATGTACTGAACTTTTTCGCCATGATACAACTAATTCTGTCGGTGATGCTCGCCTCCTCTTCAGAAAAATCACAAGTACCTTCTTTGAGAATGTAGAGGCCAAGCAAATTTTCATCTTCTATAACTCGGCCAGCAATCTCAGTATCTCAATTCAAATGCCTTCCTCGTATTCGAAAAAAACAATTTACTTTATCAAAAAATCCAAAGTTTCGCTCACACCGGAAAACATTGCTAGTTCTCTCTTGGTCGGTGAAGTGTCAGAGAGTGCGCTCGAAACACTCTCCTTGGTTTCCAATCAACTTTTCCTTCCAATATTGAAAAATTGTGTAGAACAACAATCATCATCAGCTGAAGAATCCGATGAGAAAATCTCTAGAGATGTCGTAACTTATTTTCATAAATTTCTCGCTACTGTCTATGTTACTTCGGGACAAATTGAAGGAAAAACATTATTGCCAATTCCACCCGATGATGTCGTACAAGAAACTATAGATCAAGAACAAGATAAGGATATGATTCATGGCCTCGAAACAGCAGTTGTAAATTGGGCCAATCAAATCAAGGACGTATTGACCAAAGATCCCGAGATTCTTTTCACTCCAAACTATCACCCAGGACCATTGGATGAAATTGAGTTTTGGAACTCGAAAAGAGCTGATCTAGATTCAATTTCTAAGCAGTTGGCTAGTGATAAGGTGACAAGGGTCATTGAAATTCTCAAGAATAATCAGAGTACCTATATTCCATCATTTTTGAAGATGATGGAAGAGGTTGATGTAAAAAAGCAAGAGGCATTCGATAACCATAGGTTTTTGAAACCCCTAAGAAAATATTTTGAAAGTGTTAATATTAAGAGTGATAACCATTCAGAATATTTAGAGTTACCAAACGTATTTAGAAGCATTTTTCATTTGATATTTATGATTTGGAAAACTTCAACTACTTACAACAAACCAGAGCGTCTTGTTGTTTTAGTTCGAGAGCTCTGCAATGACCTAATTGATCATTCTAGAGAATATATCGGTGGTAAAGAAATTTTCAACACTGAATTTCCTGATGCTGTTGAAAAGTTTGAAAATACTTTGTCCATTTGCGGTCTGGTGAAGAAGTATTTTTTTGCCTACAAGGCCAAGGTTGAACAAGAGTGTCCTAACAATCAATGGAAAGTTGCCCCAGCATCTCTCTTCCACAGATTAGACTTATTCTTGGAGAGATGTAGAGATATTCTAAATATTTTCAATCAAGGAAGATTGTTTGGAAAATTGGCAAACATTCAAATTGGCGGTACAAAGGGTGATAGTCTAAGTAGAGAAGTGAAAGATATCCATGTTAGATTTAGTGAAGAAATTGCCAAATTTAAAGAAATACAATATGATGCTCTATTGGTCGAAGAACACAAGTTCGAAGAAGATTTTTATAACTTTAAGAACCAAATCAAGGAATTTGAAAAGAAGATTGGGTCAATCATCTCTAAAAGTTTTGAAGAAAGTAACACTATTCATGCAGGAGTTAAAGTTATTGAAAGTTTTGATGGGCTATTGGATCGTGAAAGCGTTCAACAAGAAATTGTAAAGAAACAAGGTGATTTACTTCAAACATTCAGAAAAGAGTTAAAGAGAGTTCAACAAACGTTCACCGAGTCGAAAAACGCTCCAATTATTTTCCATAACATGCCACCAGTCACAGGAGCGATACAATGGGCAGAGTCCTTGTTGGAAAGAATTGATGGACCAATGAGAAAGCTCTCTTCATTGAGCAAGACTGTATTTGACACCTCTGAAGGTAAAGAGACTGTCAAACTCCATGCTAACATTGTTGGAAAAATTAAGCAATATCAACAACAATTGTATACAGAATGGGCCAAATCTGTTGCTGAGACTTCAGAAACCAAATTGAATGAAAAGTTGTTGAAAAGAGGACAAGATGGAACTGTAACGGTAAATTTTGATCCTGCACTTGTTAGGCTTTTGAGAGAAGTCAATTATCTCCAAAAGATCAACACTCTTCACGAAGGTGAGCCTCAGTGGAATATTCCACAAGAGGCCATCGATCTCTTTGCAAAGAATGAAAAGTATAGAACACAAACAGGTAGCCTGGAGTATATTGTAAATATGTACAATGTTGTTCACTCATCTCTGATTGATGTTGAGAGACCACTCTTCCAACAGCAACTCAACAAGATTGATACCATTTTAGAGAGAGCTACTGAAGAGTTATGCTGGAAGAATGACTCAGAGATTGATCAATTTTTGTCTGAGGCTATGAATGCAGTCAAACTTGCGAGTCACACTCTTTCATGTATTAAGAAAAATATTGGAGAAATTGAAAAGGCTCTTGTTAAATGGGAAAAGAATCCAATGTTCCAAAGAAAAGAAACAAGAACATTAACAATGAAAGAGTTCGATGCTAGATCCAAGGAAATGAAATCTACATATGAGAAGATGGTTAAGAAAACCGGTGAGTTAATATCTGCAAAGTTGAGTGACTGTCTCGAGGTTTTACGAGGAGGTAAACAAAAGTCATCTGAAGAACAGATTCCACAAGAGCTAGGATGTATAGGCGTTGACGAAAACAGTACATCATGGAAAAATTTCGTTACGTACGCCAACAATATGGTTATGGATGGAATTTGTAAATCTGTAATGGCCTCCATGAGAGCTTTGTTGGAGCAAATGAGTGTCGAATTTTTGCAAAGAACTGAACAAAGTCCTTTCCTTGAAATTTCACTTGTACTTGTAAAGAAACATACCAACATACCACATCATGATATTTATGAAGCATCCTTTAGCCCCAGCCTCAATCCAAAAGATGAAGTTTCGTTTAAGGGAGTCATAGACTCATGGATTAATGATTTTTGTACAGTTTCCGCCTCTATTGCTCGGTTAGATACTGGGTCAGGAGATTATCTGAAAGATGTTATGCAAAATGCAGAAATCAAGAAGGCCATTAAGCAAATTCATGATGGTGTGGAACATGTGACAAAAGAATGTAACAAGTTTGCTGAGCAATATATTGCGCATAAGAAGATATACGAGATTGATCAGAAAGAGTATTTTGAAGAATTCTTGGAGCAAACATTACCACAAGATAATTCCAAGGGCAAAAATCACAATATTGATGTGGCTAAATTTGATGAGCAAATCAAAAAGTATCACGGTATATATGAACAAATCAAAGAACTCACAGGTTGTGACAATGCAGGATGGTTAAGAGTTGATGCTAAACCTATCAAACAAGAATTGTTACGAATTTGCACTTCTTGGGAAAAACTATTTTCAAATTTCTTGGCCAACAGTGTCTCTGAAAGGCTCAATGATATTTTCAGTTTCATGGCCACTGTTGAGAGTGGAATTGACAAGGAGGTTGTTCCTGGGGATATTACAACGTTGAGAGAGGTGATTCGATACATTAGAGATATCAAGGTTGAGACTGAGAGCGAACATGGTATCTTCCAACCTCTACAAGAAATTACTCAACTCCTTGCCTCCTACGGTATTGAGCTCTCTCCAACACTCATTTCTTCACTTGAACAAGCACCAGCCAAATGGGACGGCCTATATAAGAGATCATTGGTGAGAAGAACTGAGTTGAGCGATCTTCAAGATCAAGAATCCACCAAAGTTAAGGAACAGGGTGTTCAATTCGGTAAACGAGTTCTCAAATTCCAGGAAGAATTTAGAGAAATTACTGCATTCTTTTACAAGTCAGGATCTCAAGAAGCCTACAAATCTATTGACAAGTGGCAATTACTTCTTGTAGATATGGAGAAAGAGGCTGCAAAATTGAGAGAATTGCAAGATCTATTTGAAATTACTGTGAGCGAGTATAATGCTCTAAAGACATGTCGAGAAGAAGTTGTGTTGTTGAAGTCTTTGTGGGATATTATTGCTCACATTCTCTCTCTCTTTAAAGACTGGATGAAAACATCGTTCAAGAAGGTTGACGTGGATGCTCTTGTCGAAGAGTCAAAGAAATTGAAAAAGATTATTCAAAACTTTAATCCAAAAGCAAGAGCATGGGACAGTTACATTGGTCTGAACAATGCTGTAACAAATATGTTGACTTCACTTCCTCTTGTGCAAGACCTGAGAAATCCTGCAATGAGAAGAAGACACTGGGATGAATTATTGGAAGAAACTCATAAGAAAGGAGCCATCGATCCTGATTCCAATTTTAATTTGGAACAATTATTAGATCTAGGTCTTCATAGTTATGTTGATACTGTTCAAACCATTGTGGACAAGGCAAGCAAGGAGTTGATTATTGAAAAGAGTTTAACGAAGGTTGAATCTACTTGGGAAAAATTATCATTTGTGTTTGGCTATGATGAGGAATTGAAATGTCCAATTTTGGGTAGTGTTGAAGAAATCGTTGAAGTACTTCAAGACAATCAAGTACAATTGCAGAACATGTCAACCATGAAATATGTAGAATTCTTCATTGACTCTCTCACGAAATGGCAAATTGCACTCTCTACCATTGATAGCATTATTACAGAATGGGTAGGAGTTCAAAAGAAGTGGCAAAACTTGTACCCAATCTTTATGATGTCCAAAGATATCAAAGAAAAGTTACACGAAGATGCTGTACGATTTGCTGAGGCCGATGCAGAATGGAGAGTATTCATGGATGTTGCAAAGACAGTACCAAAAATTACTGAAGCATGTACTGAACCAACCATTCGAACAAAACTCAACTCGAGCTTGGATGTATTGGAATATTTGCAACACGTAGAAGAAAAGTTGGACATGTGTCAAAAGTCTCTCTCAGAGTATTTGGAGACTAAATGTAAGGCATTTCCAAGATTTTACTTTATCAAGGCAGGAGATGTTATTGATATTTTGAGTAAGGGATCTTATCCTAAGCTTGTCATGAAGCACATGTCAAAGATTATAGAAGCTACCTCAACGTTGACTTTTGATGAAAATTCTGATATTGCTAACGGTCTTATTAGTAAGGAGGACGAGGTCATTTCCTTCCCTGAAAAGTATGAATGTAAGGGACCTGTTGAGGATTGGTTGAACGGAGTATTGAAAACTGTTGTCAAATCTTTGACCACCATTTTAGGAGAAGCTCATGCTGCCTATGTTGAACAACAAAGAGATCAATGGGTCTTCCAATTCCCTGCTCAAATTGTGGTTGTAGCTTCTCGTGTTTGGTTCACAAGTGAAGTCAACTCAGCCTTTGAAAGACAAGAAGAAGGAAACAAGAATGCACTCAAGGATTACTATAATCAACTTAAGGATCAATTGGCCAAATTAACCACACTTGTCCAGGGAGAATTATCATCAGGTGACAGAAAGAAGATTATCACTCTCATCACTGTTGATGTTCACAACAGAGACATTGTTCTCAAGTTGATGGAAGAAAAGGCAGAAAATGCTCAAGTATTTACTTGGCAATCTCAATTGAGATACAGTTGGGACGATACCAAAGGTTGTACCATCAACATTGCTGATGCAGAATTTAAATATGGCTATGAGTATATCGGCAATTGTGGTTGCTTGGTTATTACACCGCTCACAGACAGATGTTACATTACCTTGACTCAATCTTTGAGATTGGTTATGGGAGGAGCTCCAGCTGGTCCTGCAGGTACAGGTAAAACCGAAACAACCAAAGATCTTGGAAGAGCTTTGGGTATCCAAGTCTATGTGTTTAACTGTACCGAACAAATGAATCCAGCTTCGTTGGGTAATATTTTCAAAGGACTTGCCATGACAGGTACTTGGGGTTGTTTCGACGAGTTCAACCGTATTAGAGTTGGTGTGTTGTCTGTGGTTGCCACACAATTTAAATCTATTCTAGATGCTCTCAGAGCACAAAAGAAAGAATTTATTTTCGAGCAAGAAAATATTTCACTCATTCCAACATGTGGTGTGTTCATTACCATGAACCCTGGTTATAAGGGACGTACTGAGTTGCCAGAAAACCTTAAAGCTTTATTTAGACCTTGTGCAATGATTGTTCCTGACTTTATGAATATTTGTGAAATCATGTTGGCATCAGAAGGTTTTATTAATGCCAAAGATTTGGCTAAAAAGTTCGTCACTCTCTACAGATTGAATAAGGAGTTGTTATCAAAACAAGATCACTACGATTGGGGTCTTCGCGCCATTAAATCTGTGCTCGTTATCGCAGGAGGTTTGAAGAGAGCTGAACCAACCGTGTCCGAAGATCGAATTCTTATGAGAGCTCTCAGAGATACTAATCTTGCCAAATTGTCCAAAGATGATATTGAAATTTTCAAAGGACTCATCAGAGATTTGTTCCCAAGAATTGAGATTGAGCCTAAGAGTGATCCTGAGTTAGTTAAAGCCATTAAACAAGCTACTGAAGAAAGAAAGTTACAAACTGGAGAAAATGATATTTTCATTAGCAAGGTTGTACAATTCAAGGAATTACTCGATGTCAGACACTCTGTATTCGTTTTGGGTCCGGCTGGCTCTGGTAAGAGTTGTGTTTGGAAAACTTTAGCTAAAGCCTTTGAAATTCAAGGAAAGAGAACTTGGTTCCATGTGCTCAATCCAAAATCTGTCACAAGTGGTGAATTGTATGGTTACACTCATCCTGTTTCAAAAGATTGGAAAGATGGTCTTCTTTCATTCACTATGAGAGAAATGGCAGAAACTAAAACTCCAAATCCAAAGTGGATTGTATTGGACGGTGATATTGATGCTGAATGGATTGAATCCATGAACACAGTCATGGACGACAACAAAGTCTTGACTTTGGCCAGTAACGAACGTATTCCACTCAATCCAACCATGAGAATGCTTTTCGAAATTGACCATTTAAGAAATGCCACTCCTGCTACAGTTTCCAGAGCTGGTATTCTCTTCTTGAACGAGACAGATATTGGATGGCAACCATTCAAAGAAAGCTGGATTGAGACAAGAAATGTTGAAAAGGAAAAGCAAAATCTTGATCGATTATTCTACACCTATGCTCCACACATTCTTGGATGGCTTAAAAAACATCATCATATCATTCCAAGACAAGATATCAACATGATTCAAACATTGTGTTACTTATTGGAAAGCCTCATTACACCAGAGTCATGTCCTCCAGGATGCTCTCATGAAATTTATGAATACTACTTTGCATTTGCTTGTATTTGGGCCTTCGGTGGCGCATTAGAGGACGATGAACGAGTACTTTTTAACGGCATGTTCAAGAAAGACTTCCCACAAGTTAAATTCCCAGATACAGCCACAGTATTTGATTTCTATGTTGTCACTGAGGGAGATAGTGTCCGTCTTGAACCATGGTCTACCAAAGTCCAAGAGTATATCCATGATCCTGAATTACCATTCAGCGAAATTGTGGTGAATACTGCTGATACTGCAAGATTAACTTATTTGACTGATCTGTTGGCAGACAAGAAAAAACCTGTATTACTCGTCGGTACAGCTGGAACTGGTAAGACTACTGTGGTGAAAGGAAAGCTTAGAAATCTCGATGAAGATACTCTCTATACAACGATTAACTTTAACAGTAACACCGATGCTGAGTCATTCCAAAACATTCTTGAACAATCGATTGTTAAGAAGGCTGGTAAAATGTACGGTCCACCAGGTAGAAAGAAGTTGATCTACTTTATTGATGATTTGAATATGCCAAATCCTGACAAGTACGGAACACAATCTGCAATTGAATTTTTGCGTCAACACATGGATTATGGATTTTGGTATGACAGAAATAACATGAGTACAAAGGAAGTTAGCAATGTTCAGTACATTGCAGCAATGAATCCAAAGGCTGGTTCTTTCACTGTTACTGGAAGACTTCAAAGACACTTTGGTATGTTTGCTTGCACATTCCCAGCAGATGCAGACTTGAGAACCATCTATTCTCAAATTATTAATGCTCACTTGGAGACATTCGACAAGAAAGTTCACAATATTGCTGGTAAATTGGTAGAAGCTACTATCAAGTTGCATAAGGAAGTTTCAAAGTACTTCTTGCCAACTGCAGTTAAATTCCACTATCAATTTAACCTTAGAGAAATTTCAAACCTTTTCCAAGGCCTGTGCCGCTCAACTAAAGAACACTACACCGAACCATCTCAAATTATTAGATTGTGGATGCACGAATCCTTCAGAGTGTTTTCTGATAGAATGACTGAACATGAAGATGTTGCAAAATTCAACGCTATGGCTACCAAGATTAGTAAGGATGTTCTTGATTGCGAAATTTCAGATGGTGAGAACTTGATATTTGCATCATTTATATCCGATCAAGAAGGTAACGGCCCTTACATTGAAGCAACAGATTATCAAAAATTGAAGCAAACTTTGGAAAGAAAGTTAGACGAGTACAACTCTTCACGATCGATCATGAACCTTGAGTTGTTCAAACAAGCTATTTGGCATATTTGTAGAATTAGTCGTATTTTATCAAATCCAAGAGGTAATGCTCTATTGGTAGGAGTTGGTGGTAGTGGTAAACAAAGTTTAGCTAAATTAGCTTCATTTATCAACAATTATGAAATTTCGCAAATCACTGTCACACCTTCCTACAAAATTCTTGATTTCAAGAAGGACCTTTTGGAGTTGTATAAGAAGGCGGGTGAAAAGGACATGAAGATTTCCTTCATTCTTACTGACTCTCAAATTATTGATCAAAAGCAACTTGTGTTCATTAACGACTTTTTATCCTCTGGTTACATTCCTGAACTGTTCGCTCCAGACGATGTTGAAAAATCCATTCAAGCAGTTCAGCCTGCCGTAAAATATGCTGGTAAGGATCACAACGATAAGAAAGTTTGTTGGGACTTCTTCCTTGAAAAAGTCAAAAAGAATTTGCACTTGGTTTTGTGCTTCTCTCCAGTTGGCGAACAATTACGTACATGGTGTAGAAAGTTCCCTGCCATTATGAATTGTTCTGTTATTGATTGGTTCCATGAATGGCCAAGAGATGCTCTCATTTCTGTGGCTTATAGATTCCTTAATTCTGAAGATCTTCAATTAGGAGATGAAGCCATGATCACAAACATCTCTGAACATATGGCATTTGTTCATGAGTCAGTGAGTGTTGCTTGTAAGACCTATCAACAAGTGGACAGAAGATACAACTACACCACCCCAAAGAGTTTCCTCGAGCTCATTGAAGTTTATAAAAAGTTGTTGGCCAAGAAAAGAGAAGAACTCAATAGCACCATTGACAGATTGAGCAATGGTTTGACCAAGATTAATGAATCCGAAGAGAAGGTGAAAGAATTGTCAACAGTTCTTGCTCAAGAAGCTATTGTGGTCGAAGAGAAGAAGAGAGCCACAGAGGAACTGTTAGCAAAGGTCACTAAGGAGAATACTTTCTTGGCAAGTCAACAAAAAATTGTTGAGGAAGAAGAGGTTAAGCAAAACAAGGTCGTTGCTGAAGTTAATGCTCTTGCCAAAGTATGTTCAGAAGAGTTAGCAAAGGCAGAACCGCTAATTGAAAAGGCCAAGAAGAGCTTGGAAGTGTTGAACGTGAAGGACTTCCAAGAATTGAAATCATTTACAAATCCACCAGCTTTCGTTGACGTGGTTACTGCAGCTGTCATGATTTTGAAAGCTCCAAGAGGTGTTCCAAAGAATGTTGCTTGGGCTGAAAGCAAGAAGATGATGAACAATCCAAACCAATTCATGACAGAATTAATCTCATTCAATGCTGAAACCATTCCAAAGATCCCACAAGAGAACATTGATGCCCTCAAAAATAACAAGTATTTGCAACATCCAGAGTTCAAGCCAGAATTGATTCAAAGCAAGTCAAAGGCTGCTGCAGGCTTGTGTGACTGGGTCATCAACGTGGTAGCCTTCTACGATTTGGACAAGTTGATCGAACCAAAGAGACAACAATTAGCTCAAGCTATGGAAGAAAAGGAAAAGAACGAAGCTCACCTTAGAAAGATTAGCGACAAATTGAACTCGCTTAGAAAGGCCAAAGAGCAAGCAGAATTGGAACACAATAATGCTCAACAAGAATTGATTAGAATTGAAAAGCAAAAGAAGAAGACAGAAGACAAGCTAAGTCTTGCTCACAGATTGGTCAACGGTTTGTCTGATGAAAAGATTAGATGGGCCGACTCGATTAAGGAGCTTAATGAGCGCGAGAAGACTTTGATTGGAGACGTGTTATTGGCAGCTGCTTTCCTTTCCTATGTCGGACCTTTCACTAAAAAGTACAGAGATCACTTGGTGAATGAAAAGTGGATTGTTGATCTCAAGGAAAGAAAGATTCCAACAACTGAGGGTATTGATCCTCTGTTTGGTGTTCTGGCTGAAGATGCTCAAGTTGCCCAGTGGAACAATGAAGGCCTTCCATCTGATAGAGTTTCAATTGAAAATGGTGCAATTGTCACCAATTGTAAGCGTTGGCCATTATTGATCGATCCTCAATTGCAAGGTGTCAAGTGGATTAAGAATATGGAAAGTAAGAACAATTTGCAAGTAATCCAATTGACCAAGAAGGGTTATTTAGAAACACTCATTCATGCCATCATGAATGGATATCCTGTATTGTTGGAAAATGTTGGAGAGTCAATTGATCCAATCCTTGACCCATTATTGTCACAAAGTTACACTCGAAAAGGCAGTTCTGTCAGCATCAAACTTGGTAACCGTGAGGTTGATTTTGATCCAAAATTCAAGCTCTATATTCAAACAAAGTTACCAAACCCTCATTATCGTCCAGAAATTGTTGCTCAAACCACTTTGCTTAACTTTATGGTCACTGAACAAGGTCTCGATGATCAGTTACTGGGTACTGTTGTTAATAAGGAAAGACCTGACTTGGAAGAGCTTCGTCTTTCTTACTTGAGACAACTCAGACAGTTCAAGATTGACTTGAAGAATTGTGAGGATGCTCTTAGAAATGAATTGTCAAATGCAAAGGGTGACTATCTGGAAAATCACAGACTCATTGACAATTTAGAAGCTACCAAGAAGAAATCACAACAAATCAAGGTTAGCTTGAAAGAAATTTTAGAGAACAACAGAATGATTGATGAAAGCAGACAAGTTTATAGACCTGTATCCATTAGAGGTTCTATGTTGTATTTCTTGATTGATCAATTATCCAAGATTGATCACATGTACCAATACTCACTCGAAGCCTTCATGGTGGTGTTCAATAAGGCTCTAGAAAAGGCAGAAGCTTCGGAAGTTGTAGAAAAGAGAGTGGAGAACATTGTTGATAGTATCACAGAGACACTATTCAGCTATGTGTCAAGAGGTTTGTTCGAAAGACACAAGCTTATTTTCTCAACAATGCTTTGTATTGAGATTATGAAGAAGAAGAATGAACTCGATCCAACTCACATTGACTTTTTGTTGAGAGCACCAAGAATTGATGGTATTGAAAGAAAAGAAACAGTGATAGGATGGTGCTCAGAATTGAGCTGGGCATATGTTCAAGCATTGAGTCAAATTGAAGGAACAACGCCAGCATTTAACCTACTTCCTGAGGACATGGCTGGTTCATGGAGAAGATGGAAAGAATGGACCGAATTTGAAAAGCCAGAAGAAAAACCACTTCCATTAGAATGGAAGAATTTGACACCATTCCAAAGATTATTGATTATTAGATGTCTCAGACCTGACAGATTGACAATGGCTGTCACAAACTTTGTTAGAGAACGTATTGGTGAAAAATATGTGAGAGATATTCCAGTGGATTTGGAGGTTTCATATTTGGACTCTGGTCCAACTACACCATTGTTCTTCATTCTCTCACCTGGTGTAGATCCTGTCAAGTCTGTTGAAAAGATTGGTGAAAAGTATGGATTCACAACTGCACTTGGAAAATTCAAGAACGTTTCATTGGGAGAGGGTCAAACTGTTGTTGCTGAGAATGCCTTACAACACGCATTCAGAACTGGTGGTTGGGTCATGTTGAACAATCTTCACTTGACTCCAGAATGGTTGGGTACTTTGGAAAAGAAGCTTGAACAATTTGCTGAACAGTACAGTCGTCAAGAAATGAGAGAAAAGAAGAGAAGAGAGAAAGAGTCAGCTCTTAAGAAGACAGCCTCCACAACCAAGATCAGCACTGAAGAAGCTGAAGTATCTATTGAGGTTGCAGAGTCATCACCGCCCTCTGAAGAACAAATTGCACAAATACCACCCGCTGAGGAACATCACGATGATGAAGACGAGGAAGAAGATAATGGACATCCTGACTTTAGAGTCTTCCTGTCAGCAGAACCTTCAAATCAAATTCCAATTGGTATTTTGCAAAGATCAATCAAATTGACAAATGAACCTCCTAGTGGCTTGAAAGCTAACTTGGTACGATCACTGTTGCAATTTGATGACAACGTATGGGAAGGAAGCTCCAAGCAAACAGAATTTAAGGGAATTTTGTTCTCACTCTGTTTCTTCCATGCTTGTATTGTTGAAAGAAAGAAGTTTGGACCTCAAGGTTGGAACAGAAATTATCCATTTAACCTTGGCGACTTGACCACATGCATCCTTGTATTGAATAATTACTTGGAAGATAGACCAAAAGTACCATGGGAAGATTTACGTTATGTCTTTGGTGAAATTATGTATGGTGGTCACATTACTGACGATTGGGACAGAAAACTCTGTAAGACATACCTGGAAAAGTTCATTCGCCCTGATGTAGTTGACCAAATTGAATTGTGTCCTGAGTTCTTGTCACCACCAACTAATTTAAGTCATAAGGGATATTTAGAATATGTCGAGAAGAATCTCCCTCCTGAAAGTCCTGTTTGTTATGGCTTGCATCCAAATGCTGAAATTGGTTTCAGAACAGCTCAAGGTGAAAACATGTTTAATATGATTACTGAAATGCAACCAAGATCTGCTGCAGGAGGAGGTGCTGGCATGTCTTTCCAAGAAAAAAGTTCAAGCAGGCATTAGAAGAATTTTAGATGCTCTTCCAGAACCATTCAATTTAGAGGAAATTTCTGACCGACTCGATGAAGAGAGAACACCTTATCAAAACTCGTTCTATCAAGAATGTGAATACATGAACAAGTTACTCGTTGAAATTGACCGTTCTCTGAAGGAATTACAAAGTGGTCTAGATGGTTTGTTGACCATCAGTGACAAGATGCAAGTTCTACAAAATGCCATCTATTTGAACAAGGTACCAGAAACATGGTCTGCTCTTGCTTATCCATCTCCAAGAAAGTTGGATGGTTGGTTCGACGATTTACTTCAAAGATATCAACAATTGTTGAACTGGACCGCTGATTTGCAAACTCCTAAGGTGGTTTGGATTTCTGGTTTATTCAACCCTCAATCATTCTTGACTGCTATCATGCAAACCATTGCAAGACAAAAAACTTGGGCTCTCGATGAAATGACTTTGGTTGCAGACGTGACAAAGAAGTATGCAGTTGATGAAATTGAACAAGCTGCCAGAGAGGGCGCGTATGTAACTGGTTTATCATTGGAAGGAGCCGCTTGGGACTCAAAGAAGGGAACTTTGGTGGATTCCAAATTGAAAGATCTTCATCCAAAGATGCCAATCATTCACATTAAGGCAGTTCAAAATGAGAAGGCAGATCCAAACAGTTTCTATGATTGTCCTGTCTACAGAACTCAAGAAAGAGGTCCTGATTATATCTTCACATGCAAGTTGAAGACACGTGATCCTCCATCGAAGTGGATTATGGCTGGAGCAGCCATGCTGTTGGATTGTCCAGATTCTATCTAAACGTATTCTTTAACATGTAAATATAATTAAACAAAGCAGTTCAATTTATGAAATGTGTATCAAATTCGATTTTGGTTTATAGGTCAAAATTTGAGCAATGCCTGTCCAACATCAACAAGTGTTGTGATTAAAAGAAATCATCGTCGACATCATCAAATAATTTCGAGGTGGTTGCCTTTTTCTTTTTCTGAAGCTCTGCCTCTCGTTGCTTTTTTGCTTTTTCGTCTTCTTCGTCGTCAGATTCAAACAAGAACTTGGTGGGTGTGCTTGTTTTCTGAACAGCAGTCGCTGTTGTTTGCAGCCAAGGATCTATTTGGCTAGCATCGCTTTCTTCATCGAATACAGACATGATGGGTGACTTCTTTGAAGACTGTTCTGGTGATGGTTGAACCAGTGTCGAAGAAGGGGAAATGTTGGATTGAATTTGTGTTGGAGGAGTGACTTGTTCAGTTGTTCTCTCAGCATTGGTTTCCTGTGAAGCTTTTCCATCTTGCTCCTCAGAAGGAATGAGCGAAGGTGTGTCTGTGAAAACTTGTGGCGCTTCTTCGAACACCTCTTGATGACCATTCGACTGAACATATTGCAAGTCGTCTTCTCTTTCATCCTTACCTGAAGTAATACTAACTTCTGTCTCTTGTGGCAGAGTGAGTGTCACACTATTGCTTGAGGCAGTATGATTTTCTTCGGGAGTAGAAGCAGCCTCTTCATGTAAATCCTTCTCACGTGCCTCCTCGTGCTGTTCTTCTTGACTTTCAAGAGTGTCATGATTTCCATCTTGTAAGGCATGCTGCACTTGTTGTTCTTCAGGTGATTCTTGCTGTTCAGTGTTTGATTTCATTGCTTCTTCTGAGTTTGCTTCTTCATCAGCAACATCCACCACAGGTGTGCTAGCACTTAGCGCAGAATCTTCATCCTCTGGTTCCACGAGTGTGGAGGAGGCTCTTGGAGGTTGCGCCTCCTCCTCTTCTTCTTCTGGTTGTTGTGGTTGTGTTTCCTCTTCAGTTGTTGTTGTTGTTGTTACAATGTCTTCTCTTGTTGGCATAAATTCTTCCGGGTAGGTTTCTTCTTCTTTCTTTTCTGAATCATGATGATCGTGTTGATCATGCTGCACCTCACAACTCTGAGTCATCATAGCCTTATCATTGCTCTTCTTCTTCAACAATTCCAATTCTCGGCTCAACACATCGTAACGCTCTTTCCATTCCTCTTCCACTCGTTTCCGAATATTCTCCTCTATTTCCTCATCAGCAGTAGTAGAATTTTCAGTAACCTTTCTTCCCTCTTCTTGCTGCTTTTCATAAAGAACATTCAATTCCTTCTGCTTTGCAAAAAGTGTTTGTTCTAATGCTTGAATTTTTTCTTTAAATTCTTCCGATAATTGTTCACGAATGTTTTGTTCCAATTCTTCCCTATTGAGTGGTGGTAGTGTTTGTTGAGCTACTTGTTCAGTCTCTTCTTCGTCTTCGAATTGTAAATCTTCGAGTTCATCTTCATTCAGGTCCAAAGTTAAAAGTGTTCGACGTCGAAGGATGACTTCATCCATTTCCTCTTCATTTTCTTCTTCTGGATCATAATCGATATAAATATTTGGATCGAAATTCAACAATTTAACGCCACTGAATTCCTCAGATATTAATTGAATGGCCTTCAAGCTGAACTTTTTCACAATGGTGCCCAAAAAGCTTGATGTGGCAGCAGGTGAAAGTTTCTTTCCAGAAATTCCTTGCATAAAGGTGTGATAAATTTTGTTTACAAGAGTTCTGAATATACTTGTGAAAAGAGTTCTCACATTCTCTGCCTTATTATCCAAGGCTTCCAAGAATTTCTCACGAAGTTTCTTGAGATTGGCAGTATTTTGTTCTTCCAAATCGGAGATTTCTTGATTTTTAGCTTCTAGCTCTTCGTTGAGTTCTGTAATCTTTGAAGCTTGAGTAGTGACAGCTTCCTTAAGTTTGTTCACGTGTTGTGTGAGATTGGAAATTTCTTCTGAGCTTTGTTCTTCCAAATTTCTCAACTTTTCTTTCCATGATTTTTCAATGCTTTCACGAAGCATTTCTGCTCCAGATTCTGAGTTTTTCAAACTCTTTTCCATGGATTCATTGTGCTCAGCTCGAATTCTTTCAATTTCTATTTTTTGATCTCTCTTGAGTTTTTGGATGGCCAAATTGTGTTCATTTTCGAGTCGTTGAATCTTTTCATTGAATTCTTCCTCCAAGGTAGCAATCCTTTCCTTGTGATCACTCTCTAATTTGATCTTCTTCTTCTTATTCTCTGCATTGATTTCTTCAATCTCCTTTTTGAGAACTTCTACTTCAGTTTGCAAATTTTCGATCGTCTCCTTCTCGGATTGAACTTGCTCTTGAGCGCGAGATGTTTTTCTCTTTTGTTCTGCAAGCTGCTTACGCAGAGTTGTAATGGTTTCATTGAGTTTTTGCAGTTCTTCTTCATACATGCCCTTCTCTGACAAGTTATTGCTTTCAAGACTCAAATGAGTGAGTTCCAACTGTTGTTGAGCATACTTTTCTTGTTTTTTGCGGAGTTGGGAAATTTTCTCAATCAATGAATCGACTTGTTCTCTCTCCTTTTGAAGATCTGCTTCGAGCTTCATGTTGGTGGCTAATAAATGTTGAATATTTTCAATAAGAAGAGGGCCTGACATGAAAATGTGAGATTTCTTGAACTTTCTCAATTGATAGCCATGAGTAGAAATTTCCTTTTCAGCATCTTGATCTTCTTTTTCTTCATCCTCAACACTTTCTCCGTCCAAATCGCTTCCAAACTTGACTGCATTTCTAATGAGCTGAGTGAAAGACATGTTATCAATCGTTTTCTCAATTTTGTCGAGTCTTGTCAAAAGAACGGAAACATCATCAATCCATTGATTGGTATTACCAGAGGTAGAAGTAATGGTGGTAGTTGTGGCAGCATTGCTTGTGCTGGCAGGCTTCTTAACTTCAGTGTTAATAGTTGGTGTAGAAACTTGAGAATTCTTTTCAATAGCTGTCTGAGAGGATGTATTATTTTGTGATGTAATGAGAGATTGAAGAGTCAAGAGTTGTTGTTTGAGAGCTTCAATTTCAGCATTGCTTGTAGTCGCTGCTGTCACAGGTGAAGCTACTGTGGAAACATTGTTCGATGGAGACGGTGTTAAAGTATTGTTATTATCGACAGCATTCACATTACTGGTCGTCACTGTGTTAATGGTTGCATTAGTGGTGCTATTAGCATTAACGCTCGAGTTCACAACTACACTTGTGGAAACAGTTTCTGCTTGTTGGGTTGTGATTGGTTGTTGTTGAATGGCCACATTTTGCTGTTGCTCAGTTGGGGTTGTGATGGGTTGTTGTTGTAGTGGTTGCTGCACAGATTGTTGTTGAAGTGGTTGCTGTACAGGTTGCTGTTGAGTTAACACAACTCCATAGGAATGAGCTCCAAGCTTCGCCATTCTAGACTTCAAGTCATTTTCTGGTTGAGTGGTTGGCTGTTGTTGAACGACCATTGGATTTGCGACAACGGTAGGTGTCACAGTTGTGGGTTGCATATTCACAGGAGATGTCACAACCGGTACAGTATTTTGTGGTGGCATCACTGTGGATGATGCACTCTTCAACTTTTTCATTTTCACAACCTCAATTTGGAAACATAGAATACTATTGGGAGGAATAACATTTACAACTCCGCGTTCTCCGTATGCTAAATGAGCAGGAATGACACAGAATCTACGACCTCCAACACGAACACCTTTCAATGCTTGTTCCCAACCACGAATAACTTCTGATTCTCCAAATTTGAACGAAAATAAATTAGCTGAGTTTTCATTGGTGTCGAAAAGTTTGCCAATGACGAGGCCTTTCTTTGCATCATTGTCAACAAGCCATCCAGAATATTTCACAGAAACTCTATATCCCTCCTTGCATACTGGAGTCGATGAGTCAGTGTTTCCAAGAGTGTTAGCCATTTCATTAAGATTGACTGTGGATACCTCCATATTAGGTTGACCCATAAACTTGGCAATACAAATTATTTTGGCGAATAGAATAGCATCATTTGCATTTTGGAATCCAATTGAAAATATTCTATTACTGTGCAAATCATGCAACGATGCAAATGTCGATTGACCTTGTTGCAATGTGAAAAGTGTGTGTTGTGAAGTAATTGGTAATTGAATAATAATATCTTGAGGATTTCTATAAAAGATCAAACTTGGTATTGGAAAATTGTTAAGAATTGCAGCACCTACACTGCCCAAAGGTTGATATTGTCGTACTTCATTAGAGCTGTTATTATGATTGGATGTTGAGACACAATAGGCATTGTCATGGCGTATTGAATGAAATATAATTGAATTCAATATTGAATAATAATTTGTTCACCATTTCGCACACAACACAAAAAACTTACAATGAAAACAATTGAACCACCATAGCATGCATTACAGATCCATTCTCACCTCGAGTCTTATTTGGTACTGCCATTTGGACAACATTTTGAGAATTAGCTGTTGAATTGGTTCCAACAGAACCATTTGACGAGGAATTTGTTGAGCTGATGGATGAACTGGAAAGTTTTCGTTGAAGTGAAGTAGATGGTTGTTGCTGCTGAGTATTTGGTTTGAATTTGAAATCAGCTTCACCTTGATCGTCTCCTGATCCTCCAAAGAGAGAACCTAAACGACTTCCGCTGTAGTTGTTGTTGATGAGACACAGAGTGAATTATGAAAATAAATCATTTCGAGAGATCCATGTATTGAATGTCATGTCAATTTGAGTCAATATGTTGATTGATTTGTTGTTGATATCACCGCAAAACAGATTCAACAACAGTTGGGTTTTAAATTTGTTTACGCCACAATTATTTCATCACCACAAAAATAAATGAAATTTATCAATGATTCAAACATCATTTTTCGAAGCCGATTCAAATTTTCAAGTTCAAAAATTGTCCCAATGTGTATATGGACATTCTAGAGAGAGAAAGAGAAATGAACAACACACTTACGTTGCCGAAGCGAGTGGATTTCCGTAAGCAGACGAAGACACAACACTCTCGTCATCACTATCATCCAAAAAACTCATTTTTTTAATGCTTGAAAAAATCTTTCACACTCCGATCAGCACGCACTGGAAATCGTCAGGGCGCTTGTCTTGAAATGAAGGTTACAATTCATGAAAGAAAAGGATCAGTGTTGAACAACAATTGAAAGGCGGAGAGAGCGTTGGATGATACCGTTGACGCGTCAATGTGTTGTTCATCATGAAAATGTTCAATCTTCCATAAACGTGTGGAGAGAAAAATTCAAGAGAAAAAATAAGCACGAGAAGGAGAAAGAATTGCTCGAAGCGTAGTTTGTGCGTTCAAAATGCATTATTGAGGCATTATATCATCATTAACACCAACAACACTTCTTGAAATATTCTCTCCCTACACTTCAAGCACGTCATTCGTTTCACATTCCGTAAATACTTGTATAGATCCGCAGCTTCAGTAAATTATTAATATTATTCGAATTTATTTGAAATACACAGAGAAGTCAACAACCTCTGATAAACAACAAAGATATCAACTACTGTAGCTACTTTCAAATTGTTATATATATATTATTATAATTATTCCTCGTCCTCTATCATCATCATCAGCAACAACATTGCAATACCAACAGCAATAACTTTTCAATCATCATCGTCATCATGATAACAAACGATTACGACGAGAATCCCCGAAGACGTCCCACAGACGAAGAGTACGACGAAGATGATAACGACCCACAGCAACAGCACGGTGGTGATTATGATGACACCGGTGGATTTGATGATGGCCCCAAATACCACAACAATAACAGCAATCGTATGATGGGTCAACGTTCAAATTCAACCATGATGGGAGGTGGAGGTGATTACTATGATGACTCTGGCTTTTCTCCATCCGTTGGACAACAACAGCATAGCAATCCAACAAATATTATGAATAACGTTTCTCCATCATCCACATCTTCAGTTTCACCTCCGTATGGTGGTCAGGGATCATCAGGAGGTTCATCCGACAAGTTGGCGTCATTCAGATTAACAAAATCTAGAAGAAGAAAGTCAGCCAATATGCCTGAAAGGCCAGTCTTCTTTACTTCAGAACGACATCAACCTTTTGTTCCTGTTCCAAAAGAGGTTATTGACTGGAGAATGAAACAGAGGGTAAGTATGGTGGTTTATTGAGTCGATGATGATGATGACCTAACCTATAATAATATGGTGATATCTTTATTATGTGTTGCACACACCCGTATTTACCGATATTCAAAAACACAATTCTATCTTCATCATTCTTTCACATTGACTTCCTTTCAATTGTCTAACATTGCATTCACAAACAGTTAAAAACTGTACACGTTGCACTCGTAGTTTGTCTCAATATCGGTGTAGATCCACCAGATGTTGTCAAAGTACATCCATGTGCAAAATACGAATGTTGGGTTGACCCACAAGCACATCCACAAAAAGCACTTGAAGCTATTGGAGCTAATTTGAAAATGCAATACGAAAGATGGCAACCAAGAGCTCGCTACAAGCAGTGTCTTGATCCGACAGTCGAAGATGTAAAAAAGACCTGTGTACAGCTGAGAAAAAGTGCCAAGAAAGAAAGAATTCTGTTTCACTACAATGGTCATGGTGTTCCCAAACCAACCACAAACGGTGAAATTTGGGTTTTTAACAAAACCTTCACCCAGTATATTCCTCTTTCATTGTATGATTTGTATTGTTGGATGGATTCTCCATCAATTTATGTATTTGATTGCTCCAATGCAGGCATAATTTTGAATAGTTTCATTCAAATCATTGAACAAAAAGATGTACCTCCACGTGGAAGTTTGATGCGAAAAGAAAATATTATTTTGGCTGCCTGTGGAGTGAACGAAAATTTGCCAATGAATCCCGATTTCCCAGCAGATTTATTTACATCATGCCTCACAACTCCCATCAAGATTGCTCTTAATTGGTTCATGCAACGAAACAAACTTGTGGATGGTGTTACGGAAGAACTTATTGATAATATTCCTGGACGAATTAACGACAGAAGGACTCCAATTGGAGAACTAAATTGGATTTTCACCGCTGTCACAGATACCATTGCATGGAATGTGTTACCCAGAGATTTATTCCACAAATTGTTTAGACAAGATCTTTTAGTTGCTAGCTTATTCAGAAACTTTTTATTGGCCGACAGAATTATGAGATCTGCAAATTGTACACCCGTGAGTTATCCAAAACTTCCAGAGACTCACAACCACCCAATGTGGGACGCATGGGATTTGGCCCTAGATCAATGTGTCTCACAACTTCCAAATTTACTCAACAATCCAAATGCTGAGTATCAGTACAGTCCATTCTTTTCCTCTCAACTAACAGATTTCCAAGTATGGTTAGATTTTGGTCATCGTATTCAGAAACCACCAACTCAACTTCCAATTTTGCTTCAGGTTTTGTTGAGTCAGAGCCATCGCTTAAGGGCTTTGACACTTTTAGGAAGATTTTTGGATATGGGAAGTTGGGCTGTTAACTTGGCTCTTTCTGTTGGTATTTTCCCATATGTTCTCAAATTATTACAAAGTAATTCTTTAGAACTTCGAAGAATACTAGTATTTATTTGGACCAAAATTTTAGCACTTGACAGACCATGCCAAGTCGATTTGGTCAAAGATCATGGTCATAGCTACTTTATCAATATTCTTGTAGAGAGAAATAATGACAGTGAGCTGCGAGCAATGGCATGTTTTGTTTTATCGGTCATTGCTGATAGATTTATTCCAGGTCAACAAGCTTGTTTAAAGTACAAGAATTTATTTGACGTTTGTGCTTCCCAGCTGATTGAACAAGATTCTCTTTTAAGAAAATGGGCATGTTTATTAATTGCTAAATTGTTGGAAGACTTTGACGAAGCTCAAGAACTAGCTATCAAAGTTGGAACTCATGACAAGATTTTGCACTTGTTAAACGACGATGTTCCAGAGGTGAGAGCAGCTTGTGTTTTCACATTACAAAAGTTTATTGGCCTTAAACCTGAAAAGACTGAAGAACGAATTCAAGGAGAGATTAAAATTGGTACAGCTCTCTATCAGGTTATTTTGGACGGTTCACCTTTAGTGCGGAAGGAACTTGTTTATGCACTCGGTACTCTCATTCAACAATATGGAGAATATATTGCACCCGAATTACTCAAATCGATCATTAGAGAAGAGACTCACCATCTCACCAGTGGTCCAACTCCAATTCTTGTTTCTGGATCGAATCCACAAAATCCTTCGACACCTAGTACTCTAATTTTCCAACAGAAAAAGAAAAAGAAGAAGGACAGAAAAACCTTGGAAGCAGATATCAATGCTCAAACACCAACACCAAAGGATGCCAAAATATTGAAAGACATGAAGGATCGAGAACTTGGTACTCTTTCATATTTTGTATTGGACGTTTGTAGAGTAGTGATTATGCTTTGCTTTGATCCAGTGCGCGAAGTTGCTGAGGAAGCTCACAAAATTCTTTCCTTCATGAAGTATTCATTTGCCAAGTTGAGTGATGAAGAATTTGAGAGAGAACTCTTTTTAATCAAAGAAAAGGCCTTCAATGCTCAATCTGTTCCAAAGAGTCCTTCTCTGAAACCAATGCCAAAGCGATTAATGGATAAATTGTCGATGAGAAAGAGCGCAAGCGATTCTGATTTCTTAAAAGCAGGATATGCTCAACAACAAAGTAATTACTCAGATGATGATACTGATTCTGACAGCATGGATGCTACTTCTGCCTCAAATCATCAACTAGTTTTTATGAAATCTTCCTTCTATGAAAGAAGTTGTGAATATTTTTCGAATCCAATTTTACCAGAGAATTCGACGAAGGATGATTTTGTGTCACCCCAAACATTGAAGAGAAGAAAACGCAACGAACATTTAGTGAAGGAAGCAAGTACCATGTTGAAACTTGTGGGTAAGCGAAAACTTGAAGAACAAATCGGATTCTTTGGAAATGAGACTGAAATTGTTTCTCAAATGAAATTCCATGGATTTGAACCATATCTCGTAGTTTCCGATGAAAACGATGGCCTAACTATTTGGAACTGGGTTCGAGGCGCCATTGTGAATCAATTCAAATGTGGTGACATTCTCAAGAGTAGAATAACTGATTTCCATATCATTAACGAGGAATCAGAACAGTCCATGCTCTTAGTTGCTTCAGCTGCCGGTAATGTGGCCATTTACAAAAATTATGAAAAGAAAGAAGAGCCAATTTCTTCTTTCAGAGCTGCTCATGAAGCCATTGCAAACGAAACTGGTCTGGGTATTTTAACAGAATGGCAACAACACAACGGAACACTATATGTAACGGGAGATATTGAAAAGGTAAAAATTTGGGATGTCGAAAAAGAGCTTTGCGTTCAGAACATTCAATTAGATTCTCCTGTAACATCGATTACTTCAGATCCAAATAATGGTTTCCTCTTTGCGACAGGTTGTACCGATGGAAAAATACTAATCTTTGATAAGAGAGAATCAGGTTCGAGTCCTATTTTAAGTCATCAACTCATTTCAAACTATGAAGAATGCCACAAGAATTGGGTAGTGAGTACCAAGATTCAAAATGTGAACAGTTATCAAGTGATTAGCGGTTGTGCTAATGGTGACATTATGTTCTGGGATACAAGAGTAACCAATAGGTGTGTCAAACAATTTAATGCCCACAAAGGTTCCATGACTGCTCTAGCCATTCATAACTATGCTCCAGTACTTGCATGTGGTAGCAATAACCAATTTATTAAGGTTTTCAACACTTCTGCCGAAACTTTGAGCATGATTTATTACCATGATGGATTTTTGGGTCAAAGAATTGGCCCAATTTCATGTCTTGCATTCCATCCATTCAGAATGTGTCTTGCTGCTGGTTCTACGGATTCCATTATTTCACTCTACTCGAGTCAAGAAAAGCCATAAAGTGTGGCTGTCCTGATCATTTAATAAATACATCTTGTTGTGTGATTTGATGACAAAGTAATCTACATTTTCTGTTTTGGAAAGGAGTTATTAGGCCATGTTTCTCTCATTAAAAAAACAAAAAATTCTCGTCTATTGTTCAGCAACGTAGCTCACAAAAACAGAGGTAGGTTCCTCGTTCCTCCATGGGAGATATCGAAAGATGCATTCTTTTGTTTGTTGATCACGCATCAATTATTGTCCTACTGATGATCTACCATAATTTCACGTGATTTTCATGATTTTCTTCATCATATTCAACAACTCTCCGTTCTGACATGATGATGATCATCTTTCAATCTTGCTCTCAAAATTGAGAGTGTTGTTCATTCATCATCCTTTAATTCATCACACAGAATGGTCTTCCACAGCATAATTCAAAAACCTTGCGAATTGAACGATCAAATCTCTCTCTCCCACATGATCATCCAAAAGTGTCGTGAACATGGCGATCGTGTGGCCATGGTGGACGGAACATGCAGCTCCTCCTCTGCACCCTTCTCCTCTCTCACCTTCTCCCAAATGGCTACTCTCATGATCACCATCGGAAACAACTTGGTCGATTTGTATCAAGGTATGTTCAAGATCTTTATTACGTATGTGTCATGATCCAAACAAATGAATTCTATGATTCTTGAAATCCATGATCTCCAGTCGAGAAGGGTCAAGTAATCGCTGTTTTATTACCAAACATGCCTCTGTTTCCATGTATCTTCCATGGAGTAGGTTATATTGGAGGAATTTGTACGACTTTGAATCCATTGTATTCGGTGGAGGAAATGCAAAGCCAACTGCAAGATTCGAATGCTATCATGATGGTTACAGTTCAACCCTTGTTGGAGAAGGCTTTGAAGAGTGTGGAAGGAAGTGGTGTGAAGAAGATTTTTGTGTTGGGATTGAAGGATCAGGAAGAACAAGTGGGAAATGACAAGTGTCAAGTATTGGATGCCAAAGTGTTGTTGAAAACTCCAAAGAGTACTGAAATGATCTATGATCGAAAGATTAATCCAAAGGAAGATTTGGTGGTGTTACCTTATTCTTCTGGAACTACTGGATTATGTAAGTGTTGTTCAAGTGGTCAAATGCAGGTTGACTGGAAATGACCATTTTGTTACTCATTCATTGGATCATGATTGAATATTCATATACACACATTCGGATTTTCGGCACATACAAACTCATACATTCACTTGAATTTTTGAAACATTCACAAAAATTTCTTGAATTCCGGACATGCTGTGATTGTGAAATAATCTCTATTCATGCAGGTAAGGGAGTTTGTCTCACACACTACAATCTTGTGAGCAACATTCTTCAAATCGGTGTTGAATTGGAACCTCTCACCGCTGAGGATGTCATTATTGCTGTCCTTCCTTTCTTCCATATCTATGGACTCACAGTGTTGTGCAATAAGGCTCTGTATGAAGGAGCCAAAGCAGTAACCATGGCAAAATTCGATTTGGAAACATTCCTTAAACTCATTCAAGAAGTAAGTGGTCTTTATCACTATTTCGTATCGTTATATTCTTTTATTATTTCCTTTTATTATGTCATTCTGTTGTTTCATTATATTTTGTTCATCTTCTTTATGCTCTATCTAATTTTTCCTTGAAATATTATTCCAATGATATGTCATACCTTTCAAAAGCACAAAATCACTCGAGTTCATTTGGCTCCACCAATTATTTTAGCATTGGCTAAACATCCAATTGTGGACAAGTATGATTTGAGTTCACTTAGGGTGATCTTGTCTGGAGCTGCACCACTTTCGGGAGATGTGGCCAAGTTAGTAAGAGATCGTTTGAAACTTGTGGTGAAACAGGGCTATGGATTGACAGAGTCTTCACCTGTTTTGAGGTAAGTGTTACATTGAAGAGATTGTTGTGAAACAGCGAATCTACGTGTGTGATTATATATCATGTTTTTGATAATATATTCACGATCATGATTTTATTCATGTGCATTTGGGAATGATCAACAATGAAAATTGGCTAAAAATTACAACCATTTGAAATATGATCATTTGAATTTCAAACACAACAAATACGACATAGTGTCTGTGGTGATACTCCAGAACGTATCAAAGATGGATCTGCTGGACTCTTACTCAATCATACAGTTCTCAAAATTGTGGACACTGAAACTGGTGAAGAAATTACAGAGTATGGTAAAGCAGGGGAACTTTGCTTTGCTGGGCCCCAAATTATGAAAGGTTTGTATTCCATCATACTATGATCATTAACGTACATTTTAATGATCCATCTCTATTCAAAAACTTGTTCCATCATTCACAACATGACAATACAAAGGTTATCTCAATAATGATGAAGCCACTAACAATACACTCAAAGATGGATTCCTTCACACCGGAGATATTGGTTACATTGATCAGGATGATTTTATTTTCATTGTTGATCGTCTCAAAGAGTTGATTAAATACAATGGACATCAAGTGCCACCCTGTGAATTGGAAGGAGTTTTGTGTAAACATCCAAAAATTCTTGACGCTGCCGTGATTGGCGTTCCAAATGAGGAAACTGGAGAATTACCAAAGGCATTTGTTGTGTTGAGACAAAATGAGAACATGACGGAGGAGGAAGTCATGAATTATGTGGCAGAACATGTGTCACCAGTAAGAAAGGTTCGATTGGTTGAGTTTGTAAATGAAATTCCAAAGAGTGTGAGCGGAAAGATTTTGAGAAGAATTTTGAAAGCACGTGAATTGGAAAAGTTAAAGAAGAAACAATAAACACGAATTTGCGATGTATATGTATATTATAATACTATAATTATTATTGCGATGTATATTATAATTATTATTAATATAATACAAGTACACAATACTATTTGCGAATTAATGATTTTGAAATGTATTGGACCATCCTCCAATTACGAAAACAACAAACACTCGGAATGTCATCTCCTTGTTTGAATCGATTTTAAAGGAAAGCTCCCAAAGTTTCCTTAAATGGTCTTAACAACAACAAAAAAATGTTTCAACCCAAGAGGTTCCGATCGCAGCAACAATTATTGAAGAGCACCACTGGTTGGCTGATCAATGGCAGCAAGACTTTATCATCACCTTGGAAATTATGTACAGACATGTTGAATCATACAAGTAGTAAGAGATATATTTCAAATCAAACGACCTCTCAATTGATTCGTCATTTCAAAAAGCATCACCAACATCGAGGATTTATTGTTTTTAATCAGAATGTTGATCAACAAAAATCAGAGCCGTACAAGTTGAGCCATCCGTGTATGGAACCGGTATTGGAGTGCATTACAACAAAACACCAAACTGCTGGTGATTCTAATGTCGGAATGATGGTTCAAGATCGAGCGGAAATAGTTGGAAATATGGAAGCCTTGTTTTTGGAGGTTTCTCCCGTAACTCAGAGTTTATTGGGATGTTTCATTCATAATACAAAACGCGGATTGGCTTTAGGAAGTGTTGATTTATGGCATTATCCTCACGCCTCTGAGTTTGTGAATGCAGGACTGGATCAAAGTGCCCACGCTGCACGGAGAATGGCCTTGACGAACCAGTATTGGGGTAAGTGAAGTGCTTTAAACAATCTTCAATGAATGTCGCGTTCTATTGTGATGTAACGAACATCATTCATTGGTTGATGAATTTTCATTGATTGAACTATGCCTCAATGAAATCCTCTCTTATTTTCATTTAGGAGGAGCAAAGGCAATAATTCAAACTAATACAGATTTCACATTGAATTACTCAAATCCAGAGGTTAGAAGAACGATCATGAATGAACTAGGAAGTTTTGTTTCATCGCTTAGAGGAGTGGTGTATGTGGATGCAGGTTTTGGAGTTAACTCTCACGATATGGCTCATGTTTTTGAAAGAACTCGTTTTACCACCTATACACCAAAATTATCGATGAATGGAAATTTGGCAGCCCAAAGCCATGCTCAGACCACCATTACAGCATTGGAGGGCGCAATGAGCCTGAGAGCAGGATCAAGGGATTTGAGTGACCTTGTGATGGCTCTACAAGGTATCAAACACAATTATGAAACTTGTAAATTACTGTTGCAAAAGAAGGTACGAAAAATCATCCTGACAGATACAGATCCAATCGTGATTAAACATGCCAAGACTGTGTTTAGTAGGGAAATTATGGATGGAATCATAGAGGTGCGTCTTGTTTTCGAGGACCAGGATTCAATTCTTCATTTGGAAAATGTAGATATTTTGGTGCCTTCCTCTGACACTAAATTGGATGCTCAAAACATTTCCGATATTAAGGCCTCAGTCATTTGTGGAGTTTCCTTGAGTCAATTTGAATCGATGGATCATGAAAGAACACTGAGAAAGGATCAAGACGTTATTATTATTCCCTCTCTTGTAATCGAAAGCTCTTCTTCTATTATTAAGGGCAACGAGGTGTTTGGTTTCATTCCTGAAATTGAGGGTGATCCTGAAATCTCAAAATATTTTTCACCAGACTATGAGTTTTCAATTTCCAACTTGGTACGAAGGATTATTACTCTCTCGAAAGAGAAAAATGTGTCAACTGAGCAATGTGCCATTGAGATTGCTGATGAAATTATGAAACAACCACATCCATTCATTCCTACAAGAGGATCTCAGATTATTCAATCTTTGGTTAAGGATGAGTGGAATAATGCAGATTTTTAGAGGGCTTTGATGATTAAATGGGCAATTCATTACTGAATATTGAATCAATGTATGGTATTAACAGTATTGTAAAGATCTTAATCCATTATTTTGAGCAGAAAATCATTAATTGGAGAATATAAAGTTTATTGTTATTGTTGTTTACACAGACTGGACAATGTTAAGCAAAGGAATTTTACAAACTGTGTGAGAGAATGGACTTCTTTGTCGTGTGAAAATTCTCTTAATGTCAGTTCCATACAAATACAAATCCGATCCAGAAAAGCTTGGGGTGTAGAGTGAGAGTGATGTTAAAACATCTCCTGAGACAGTCCAGGATCCCAAAGGATCTTCTGTTGTTGCGAAAGAAACTCTTGGATTATAGTCATTTAGAGTTCTTGGAAGTCCTTTGCTTGCAAATCCCCCGAAAATGAAAATGTAATCCGCTGTAACCACCATTGGTCCATCGGAATAAGTGAATGGAAGCACCGAGTAAGTATTCTCCCATTTTGAGGGGAATATATAAGGAGCTCTCAAAATATCACTATAAGCTTCTTGGGATGGTGATCTTCCTCCAAAGATGTAAATATATTGTCCAATTTGCGCAATCTTTCCACCGTATACTTGGTTGGGTAGGACGTCTGGTGAAATGGTCCAAACTCGTGGCTCAGTGATAGATGCACGGATAATCTTGTTTGTGACAGAGTAGTTTTTAGAGTCTGCTGCATGAATACCACCATAAATAAATATTGTGTCGTCAACAACGATGCAATGACCTGAGGCGACTGGATAAGGTAATGTATATTTGAGAAGTTCCCATCCATTCTCAACATCAGAAACAGGAGCTCTATAAATCTTGTCGCTGATCGATCCATTGACAACTCCTCCAAAGAAGTAAATATACTCTTGAGCTCGGACAACATGTGTATTGTAAATGGTACCAGGGAAAGCCTTCTTTGTCTTGTTATTATAGTCAACCATCTCCCAAGTGTATGGATCACTCAAGTTTCTGTAATGCAATTGGAAACCATTCTCTACCAAGGGATAAAATTGTTCCCCAATAAATTGATAGGCCTTATCGTTTACCTCAAAATATGGGTAATGTCTTCTCTCCAAAGAAAAACCTGTTGATGCATCAAAGGTCCAACCTAATGTGAAACCTGATGGGTTTGTTGTGATATTAGGTAAGAGGCCGGTATTTCCCTTTCCTGAACCAACAATCACTGCCTCTGTGGTGAGACCGACTGAGGCTTGGTCCATAGCTGCAACTTCAGTTATTAAATGATTGTACAATGTATCTGTGGGAAGGTCTGAGACTTGGTATGGAATTGTCTGATAATAGTTTCCAGCAGAGCCTGCCCTCGAGGTATGACCTAATTGATAATTAGTGTTTTCACCCCATGAATACCATTTACCATCGTTCGTTAATGCAAAGGCGACGTTTCTTCTTGAATAAATCTTGACAATGCTTTTACCAACAATATTTGTCATGGTTACCTTCGTTGGAGAGGTTCTGAGAGTAACATCACCAACACCTAATTGACCTTGGTCATTACGACCCCAAGCATAAACTGTTCCGTTTTCAGTCAACACCATAGTGTGATAATCTCCGCATTGTAAATCTACGATGGTTTCTCCTGCAAGATCAGCAGGCTTTGGAATGGTAATTGCTTCCATAATGTAATCGGCGGCAGAGGCATAACCTAAACCTAATTGCCCATATTGATTATCTCCGAATGAGTACAATTGATTATCTGTTGTCAAAACAACTGTATGGAGATCACCTCCACAAACAAGTGTAACAGCCTTATTCAACAAAGCACCCTCCATGAAGACGTTGATTGGTTTGTTCTTGTCAATGGTGGTTCTGTCTCCAAGTTGTCCTCTGTTGTTCTTTCCCCATGCATAAAGTTTACCATATTGATCGATGGCATAGAAGGCATAAGGGGCAGCTGCAACTTGTTCCACCATCTTTGGGCCTTGCAAATCCCAAGAACAAACTTTTAAGGGTGTCATTCGTGGATCAAGAGTACCATCACCGACTTCTCCTTTAGAGTTCTGACCCCATGTATAAACTTCGTGACCATATGCCAAAACAATGTTGCTATAATAGGACGAATCAAATTGAAGAATGGTAAGGTTTTGAGGGAGATTGACTGGCTTTGCAATATCGAGACCATAAGTTGATCCTTGAGTATAATCTGATCTTCCTAGAGATCCCTGTGTTTGCTTTCCCCAAGCATACAATAATCCATTGCCATGAAGATGGAGTCCATGCTCCTTACCTGCGGAGAGTCTATTTCTTTTTCTGACGACAGGATGGTAAGATGCATAATTGCGAAGGTATCCGTGGGTAATGTTAAAGCTCATAGGCAGAGGAGCCGTTGTTGTATTTGCGGTTGTCCATTTTGAAGGATCATTCAAATAATTAATCGAATCCTGTGGTGTTCATTCAAAAGTGTTCGCAATGCTGTCATAAAAACAAATCACAATGGAAATTACAACACCTACCTGGACCAAATTTCTTAACTTATTATATGTTTGGTTGAAACCTGTGTTTGTGAATGCAATCAATGAGTCCAACTCTTTTTGTGTTGCCAAAACATTGTTATATTGCTTAACCTTGTTTTCAAGCATTGCTTGATATTGATCTCTTGGTATTCCAAATTGAGAAATGTAATTCTCAGAGTACTGGATGGCTTCACTGATAACTGATATCTTTTCGAGGGCTCTAGAATTGATCATTTCTTGCTTTTGAGTCTTGTAATCCTGTAGTACTGTGTAGTAGCTATCTCGTCTTTCTCTGTATAAACCAATTTTATAATAGGCCTCATCCAATGGCAGTTGTTGGCTGCAAACCATGTGTAAAAGTACTGATGAAAGTAAGTTTAAAACAATAATATGTATGGAATTGAAAGATAATATTGTTTGAAATAAGTTAGGACAAGCTCTCATGCGTTGGGCAAACCAATCTTACTCACCTGATAAGAGTATTAATAAGCAAGCCACCAAAAGACGGGCAATTCCTGAATCCCTTCCTTTTGAGGTGGTGGAAGCTGCTGCCTGTTGTTTCATTTTTTATGTGGTGTTTTGCTGCAACTACGACCTGGACTGATTAAACGGTAAATTTACAGCAAAAAAAATAATCAAAAATGACTACAGCAGCCAGGGTAACCTTATTCACCCCGACTGGCAAGGTGTTATCGTCCGCAGTGATGATGGCTCTTCTTTTAGTAGTGCTGGTGATGACCGCTGGATATTGTAAGTGCCTTAATCAGAATGTTCATCACATCTAACAATTTCATTTCACTTGCGCCCAAACACACATTACACATCCAACTCGTATATTTTCATTCGTCATCATTTCATCAGTTCACGCAGCCAATTCAGAGGCACTTCCTTCAACATCGTTTACACAATATGTCATTTCGCTTATGTTCTTGATTCAAAAGAGAGCAAGCTTAATGTCTATCAAACAAGATTTCATTTCGAAAAGAAACAATGTCCAGTATACACAAAGAATTAACTACAATACCCAGGCAGCAATGGCCATGTCGAAACCATATGTGGCCAAACTGGGTCTGAACCAACAACAATACGATGCTCTCTTAGATGCTAAAAAAACACAAGCCGATAAATCCATGCGAGACCTGTATGAAGCGAACAGTTACATCAATGTCACAGACAATGCCATTTCAGTGACAAATGAAAATATTGCATCCATCAACCAGGTAAGTTTGACACCATTTCTATGTTGTATCTACTTGACGCTCATTGAATCTAATTCATTTCCTTCTTGCTTCATTATTGGATCTCCGTGAAACGTTGAATTCTATTTGACAAATAGAATCTTACCGAAGTGCTACTAAGCTACCACAAATGGCAAACAACAAATAACCACTTAGTGTCTGGCAACATGTCCATACAGCCTGTAATTGGCTATATGGAATCATATTCCACTTTTAAACCCGTTCTTAGAATCAGAAATAGACTTTCGGCAGGTGCCAATCATGGCCTATTCATTGGTCCTAACGGACGTGTGTACTCTTGGGGACTCGATACTGGTGGAAGTTTAGGTAGAGAAGCAACTAAAACTACTCCTTTCCCCTCTTTGAGCACTCCTATCGATCTACCAGCAAACCTTACCATTCTTCAAATTGCCAGTACATACTATGGCAATCTTATTTTGAGTGAAGATGCTGTTTATGATTGGGGTAAAAACGATTACGGTCTTGCAGCAGACGGTACTATCCTGAACAGAAAGGTTCCAACCAAAGTTTTTTCTTGGGATTTGCAAGGACCAAAGAGAATTGATCAAGTTGCAGCTGGTGCTTTCAACTATTTTGCTGTAGACGAGAATGGAAGGTTGTATTCTTGGGGAAGAAATGATCGAGGCCAGCTTGGAGATAGAACCACCATCGACAAGTGGAGACCTGTCGATGTTTACATGAAAGGCTCACTCGTCAATCAAACAGTTGTTAAGGTTTGTGCTGGACAATTGCACACAACTGTATTGACTTCGATCGGTAAAGTCTATACTTTTGGGGACAATCAATATGGACAATTGGGAATTGGAAAAACGGGTACTGAAACACCATACGTTATGGAGGCAGCTAGCGTCATTATGAATGGATCATTGACATCAAAAACAGTGGTTGATATTCAATGTGGTGATTTCCATAACATTATTCTGACTTCAGACGGAAAAGTTTATGGTTGGGGTCTCAATGACAAGGGACAACTTGGAGACGGCTCCATTGTGAATAGATTGTTCCCTGTCAAGATTCCAGACAGCTCTTTCGACAATAGAAAAATTATTTCCATTACTGCTGATATGAACGTATCATTTGCTATCGCTGAGAATGGACCATTGTATGCTTGGGGTCAAAACGATAATTACCAACTTGGAATTAATGCAACTATCTCTTATGTTACCACACCTCAAAACGTGACTCTTCCTTCAGGAGTTGCTCCTGTTGAATTGGTAATGATGGAAAAATCCACTATTTTGCTTGGAACAGATGGAAATTTCTATGGAACAGGATATTCATCTTCTAATGCTGAATTGCTGAATGTAACAACACCACAAATCAGTTTTACCCTCATTTATGCGTTCCCAAAACAATACTTACCTCTCGAGAGAAGACATTATCCATATATTGAGCTCAACGATATTTCCTATTCCTTCGTTGGTAGACACTTTTTCTCCTTCCCTGACAATGGTTTTGATGCTTTTGTTAGAAATAATACAAGTCCAGAGTATTGGAAGATGTTGGACTACCACAACACAACTCGAAAAATTTTCCAAGGATCCATTTACAATACTCATGTTCTTCGTGCTAACAATTATGTCTACATGTTTGGAGGAATTGTTAATGGATCAATCTCAAACCTTATTTACAGGGCACCAATTGACAACATTGAAAATGGATGGGATATTGTGAAACAAACCTTGCCATATCCTGTTGCATCTGGCATGTCCATCTTAATTGATGACTATTACTACATTTTTGGAGGTCTTGTTTTTTGGCAGGATCAATCAGGATTTGTTAATATTACCGCTACCTCATCAATTCTTAGATGTCATGTGTCAAGTCCAACACAATGGGAAATTATGAAGTCAGGAGGTCTTCCAAAGGGTGTTTATAGTGGAAGCATTGCAAGAATTGACGACTATATTTACATATTTGGAGGAAGAGTGAGTACAGGTGATGCTTATGCAGACATTTTGAGAGCACCTTACCTTAATGTGAGTCAATGGATTAACACTTATGCTGTTTTACCATTCCCTATTGCTGATGGACCTTTGGTTATTACTGACGATAATATTTATATCTTTGGAGGTTATATCTCAGAAAGCACTCCAGATGTTTTGGGCAAGTACATTAAAAGAGTGTGTGTGACCACTAAGAAAGACCCAGTTGGAATGTGGACAGTTTCAGGAGATGATCTTCCAACCTTGCCAGCTCATTTAGCAGTTTCCACTCCTGTGGTTGTTGATCATAATCTTTATCTGTATGGATATGACTCAACAAAACCAACGACGACACATCAACAGATCAGTTTGGTTAACTCTTTCATTAGAATACCTTTTGTATAATTAATAATTAAATCCAGATCAATACCGACAATTATATCAAAATAGGGCTAAATTTCTTTGCCAACAATAACAAGACTCAATAAATTTCACAATTATTTTTCTCTGTTGCATCATTCCTCTTGCACTTTTTTGACCTGGTTGTTTGTTGAAATCATTTCTTCCAATACCTTGTGTTTTAATTTTGATCCAATAGTCATGATCCTTTCGGTTGTCTTGATTGATCGCTTGATTATGAACTTGCATACATTCCTGAACCTCATTCCAATCCATACAATTACTCCAAGGATACCATGCATGCTTGGTGAGAAAGGCATCCACACATTTCTTTGATATTTCTAGTTGCTTCAAATCTTCGAATGAGTCGCCAATTTCAGCCTGCAAACGATAGGAACGGGAGAGACCGAATGGACCAACAAAACCTTTCAGATTGTTGTTATCAGTTGTCCTTTCATGGCTGTATAGACTTGTTCTTTGGTGAAGGTTGGTCCGGTCTTTTTTGGCTTTACATATTGAACGATTTTCTCAGTTTTGCTTTCACCGTTTTTGAGTGATGACATGCGTGGGGTTGTTTTTTTTGGTGAACTTGGCAGATGACAGCTGTTGGTCATCAAAAAATATGCTGCTCAGTAAATTTGATCGATTAAATGATTATCTCGACCAGAAAGACACTCATCTTACAAAACAATCTCGTTACAAATTCAAACATGGAAGAAGAAAATAGATAAAAGTCAACTATCCAATTTATTCGTTCCATTCGAGATACATCATTTGCCATCAACACTTCGAATCAAGATATGTTCTGTATATACGAATTGACTTTGCCTCCGGTACATCAATGGTTATCATATGACCGATCTCATGATAACCAATGATGTACAGCAACTACAAAACACACCCGAAAAAACAACATTACACTGTTGAAATACAAACTATAACCAGCAACATCATTTATCAAAGAACATATTCTGGTGTGAACATCTCTTGCTAGGACCATCTTATCGTCACCATCATCTCTCCTCATCATCATGAACGAATCCAATGCCTCACATAGTGTTGCTAGTTACTCCTCTCAGCAGCAGCACCAACAGCATCAACAAAGCAACAACAAACCCAGAAAAGCAAGTAAAAAAGGACCACCGAGTGTCGTCTTTTCAAATCTCACCGGTAGTTCAACAAACAACACTTCCTCAACGAATACCTACACTAGACAATATATTACTCGAGCTAAAGACTCTCTTCTGAACAATCTCATCATGCTCAAAGATAAATCAGCTCAGAAAGATTGGAAATATTTTGTATTGACTCTTTTTGTGGTGGTGTATACAAGTTTGTGTAGTGTAGTGATGGGAGTTCAAGGAAGTTTTAATCAAGGAGAGTATGGAGATTGGATTTGGAGAGCTGCAAATTTCATCATAACCTTCTCCTTAGATTTGTTGCCTTATGAGGGAATGATGTCACTTGCGATTATTTGTATGATTGTTTCATTTGGTGGAATTGTTTTGTATTTTTTGGCATTTCGATTCACACGAAGAGCTCGTTATTTGTTTCAATTCAAAATGGCTATCAAGATTTATGGAACATTGACGAGTTTGTGCAGTTTTGTGATGATTTACATTCTCTCCTCGTTTTATGATTGTAATTATTCGAAATATGTCAAATTTACTGGATATTCCATGCCACAACCAGTATTGTCGAGATTTCCAACACACATGTGTCACGATACTCCAACCATTATTTTAATGATCTTTTCAATATTCTCAATCTTGTGTTTGATTGTCATGAATTGTATATTTTCAATTATTTTATCGAACTCTCATGTGTTAAATAGGGCCATGTTTATTGTTGAGACACCCACTTTCTCTATCATGATATTGACCATTTCAGAATTGCAACTCGCAATCATGTACTTTATTCCACAATCATTTATTTATATAAGGTCCATTTTACATATCGTTCCATCGGTCCTTCTAATTCCAATTCTATTTTATTCACTTCCTTATTTTAAACGAGTTGAAAATTCCATCATGAGTGGTGTATGTTTTGCCAAATGTTTGGCTCCTGTTGGAAGTTTAGTGAGTTATTTTGCCAACTCGGCCAATGACCGATTTTTTGGATTAGGTTTGGCTTTTTTACCTCTCGCGTTGATCATTGGAGGATTTCTCATTGGTTTTACGATCATGGAGATTTATACAAGAATTGTGATATGTGGAATACGAAAAGACATCATGTTCAATTTTGATTCAACTCTTTCAGATCCAGAAAATATTCAACGTTTGGAAAAAGAGGCACCGTTCTTAGTGAAAGACATGGAAACTACGAAACGAATGAGAAGCTTTGAGATGTTTATCAAGTTTAGCATCTTGAGCAAATCTAACATTAGCGGAACTCAATTGCGCGATCGAGATTTAGGAGTTGCCATTGTCAAGTCCATGACCAATCACAAAAGTTTCACACAAGCTGACATTTTATGTTTGGCTGGAATTCTAGTCGCATATTTTTGGGAGGAAGAATTCAATCGATTTGGATTTGCTTCTGCCATGTTGAAACGAGCTTTTAAGAACAAATCTAGTATTTTGCAAGATCTTATCTATCGAGAACGAATCATGGAAATTGAGATTGCTTCAGAACAAGCTAGAGGAGTGAGACGATCGATTGCTGACATTGTAGATGTACTTGTGAATTTACAAACAAAACAAAGGAGAATAACTGCACTTCACAAAGCTTTTTGGAAATGTCTCATGGAAGAAGTGGTCAATTATAACACAGTTTCATACATTACTAGAACCATTACAAGAATGACACGAGAGTGCATTGAAACATTTTTTCATTTAATCAAAAATTATAGACATGAAAGATCCATCAAACGTCTCTATGCAAGATTTATTGAAGAAGTTTTATTTGATTTTGAAACTGCCAATGAAATATATGAAGAGACTGAGGAAAATGATGAAGACGATACAAAACATCAATCAGGATTTATGGAACTCAAACAACACACTTCTAAATCGCGAAATAGAGTCTATCCTTATGTCGCAATGTCACCAAAAGATAAAACCAAGTCAAGTTTGGATTTAACTGGACTCAATGGAGGAACCACAGAACTTGTGGAAAATGCTGAAGAGCTTGATTTGAAAGAGGCTGCAGAAGATGAAGCTAACAAACGAGAGTTTCTTATTAGAGCTGCAATTTCCACTCCACCCAACAATCTTCATGTCTATGTCCTCTTTTGGATTTTTATTGGTGTTATTTGTTGTTTATTTTTGGGTGGGATTGCTCTTGCCGTATATTATCAGACATCTTCCACTTCTGATTTACCAATCATTCACAATTCATGTTTGATCTCGAGTTTACCTTTGGAGGGTCTTTCTTCAATAAGAAATTTTCAAGTCTATCTAACCTTATTTAGCAATCAAAGTTTAAATGAACAATCAAGTGTAATTGGAAACATTACACAATTTGAAGAGAATCATAATTCGAGATTGCAATATATTAAGGAGAAGTTATTAACACTCGAATCACTCGCCCTAGAGAATGAAATGACCACTGAAATGCAAGAGGACTATTCAAATCCTATCTATGATATTATTTTTCCTTTGGCAGCTACGTCTGGAGATTTTACAAGTTATGAAATTCGTAAAAACTCTATTTCTCTCATAACTAAAACTATAGTGAAAGAATTAGAAATATTTCACAAGATGTCACACAACGACTATTTTAACACAACGACTAGTTTCTCGTTCATGACAATGTGGCGTAATCGACTGCTTGTTTTGAATAATTACAAACATTTTTGTAATATTATGATCGACAGAGCACATGAAGATAATCTCAACTTGGACAACCTCTATTTTTATTACTACATTGCAAGTTGTTCTTTCTTGGTGATTGCAGGAATGATTATTACTTCGATATTTATTTTCAACACACGAAAATTGTTTTGGACGATTAAGACTGTAGATAAATGTGTTCCAAAAGATTGTGTAGGAAAGTTATATACTCAAATGAAAAGTTCAGATGAGGACAATATGGTCATGAATATGAAAGATTCTTCACCGTTTAAGAGGCCATCTTTTCAAATCTTAGTATTCTCAATATTACTTCTCGTATTAGTAATTGCATCATTGTCAATATTTCTTTACAGAGTTAAAGCAGTTGTGGGTTTTACAGAAGATATTTTGAACAATATTAACACGTCTGCAGACGTTCTGTCTAATGCGAATGTTGCACTCTTTGACGTTGGTCAACTTTTGAGCCAAGCGTTCATTACTGCTAATTCATCATCCATTAACAGTGACAAAATCATCTCAGACAAGGAAATATCAGGTATTTATGACGATGTCGATGATGTCACTGATGAATTGTTCCGTGATTGGAGTCAATTGGTTTTTGGAAATTTGACAACAAATGATAAGCCCATGTTAGGAATATTTCCTCAGGTTGATAGGATTATTACTGGAGAGTGTAGTGGAAATGAAACATCAACAGAACAAACACAATGTGTAGGTCTAAACACACTCGTATCAGAGTTTGTTTTATCCTCTTATGAGTTGAAAGAAAATGTCAAGCTTCCCAAAAAAGATCCCAATGCATACTTTTTAACTTTCCAAAACATGAAAAATGTTGCCATTCAATTAGAATCTCAATTGTACAATTTTGTGGATATTTATCTTAGCAGTGTCATTAATAACGAAGAAGAAACCATTATTGGTTTTGTTTCTGCTTTTGGCTTGATATTTTTTGTAATTCTTGGATATGGTTTGTTTAGTGCCATTGAAACCGATTGCTATGAAACTCATACAGTTAGATCTCTATTGAACTACATTCCAATTGAGATTTTAGATGGAGGAGAAGATCTTCGAAATTTTATTTTTTATCATCAACTTTATGGAAGTTTTTCATTGAAAAGCAACAAATCCAAAGGCACTCAATCTCAAGATGAAGAATCTAAAGTGAAATGTATTATCAATGCATCCGTGGATGGAACTGTACTTTGCAACCATTATCATGATATTGAGTTATTTAATCCCTCTTGTCAAAGAATGTTCGGCCGACAACCCAGTGAAGTTGTTGGAAGACCGTTCTATACTCTCTTTGATCCAAAATATCATGAAACCATCAAAACCATGATGAAATCAATGGAAAAGGTTTCAGATAACAACGCTGGTCTTGTCAATTGTGGAGAAAGTAAGGAAGTAGAATGCGTACGGAAAAATTTCTCAACCTTTCCAGCATCCATAAGCATTGCTTGTGCCTATTACAACTCTAAACAAATATTTACCTGTTCCATTAAGGATATTACCTCTGAGAAGAAGCAAAATGCATTGTTAGCAGATGAGAAGAAGAGAGCAGACAATTTATTGAGAAACGTGCTGCCCAACGGAGTTGCTCAGAGATTGAAAGCTGTAAGTTTTTTGAGTATTTTGTTTCTCAAATGGATACTAAATGGATACTAAATGGATGATGTCTTACATTGATTATCCATTCATTTTTATTGTTAATCAATTTCTATTTTGATAATGAATTGGTTACCGATTGAACTTGTTTTTTCAACATGATAGGGTGAAACATTTATTGCAGAGCAATTAAACGATGTGACATGCTTTTTTAGTGATATGGTTGGATTTACTGCTCTTAGCAGTAAGATGAGCGCCAATCAAATCGTTGGAATGCTTAATACTATTGTCAGTGGTAGGTTGATATTCGTTGTTCCTTTTATACCTAACTTGTTTCTTATTGATTCTTTCATTGCCATTCGAAACTTTTTGTTGATTTCAAGGGTTTGACGCTTTGACTGAAAAGTATGATCTTGAAAAGATAAAAACTATTGGAGATGCTTATTTCTGTGTTGGTGGATTATGGCAAGCATCAGATCATCCAGAAAGAACATTGAGATTCGCCATTGATGCATACTCTGTGGTTCGAGATTACAACACTCAAACATTCCAAGCAAAACTCTCAGAAGTCACAAATTTAAATATTGACTTTATGAGTGATCACAAACAAATTGACATACGTGTGGGAATTAATACAGGAAGTGTAGTAGCTGGAGTTATTGGTGTGAAAAAGGTACGTTGTTTCACTTGTTTGAAATCCTTAGTAATTCTATACCATCCATCATAATATATTATTCAACAACCCATCTTTTACAACTGTAAACTGACAGTTTGCCTATGATCTTTGGGGAGTAAGTAGTGATATTTTCAACACTTTCAACGCTTAAACTCATCATAATTTATATCAACCACAGGACACGATTAATGTCGCCTCGAGAATGGAATCCACATCTATAAACGGAAGAATTCAAATTTCTAGAAGTACTTTTGAACGAGTACATGATTTGCCAAATCTTGAGTTTGAAGGTAAGTGGTTCATGTTGGGTGTGAATCTAAACCAGATTCAATTATCTACATCATGTGACAGAGAGATTCATTGAGGTCAAAGGAAAGGGTCAAATGCAAGGTTATTTATTGGATGAAAAGTATCATAAACGTGCACCTTTATCTTTGGAGGAAATGAAAGAAATGGTCGAACAAGAAAAGCAAAAGAGAGATAACCAGACACAGGTTTTATTAGAAACTAAAGAACATTTACAGGGTGAGGAATTTACTGAAGATGAACAACAGTAAAAAAGGAAATTTTGAATTCAATCTTTTCCCACTCATGTTCATGACAGCATCTCCAATCTGTTCCCAATTCGTTCCGTCTTTCAAAAAATGGCACAACCCAAAGCCTTCCTCTTTCTCTTACTTTTTCACACCACAAAGATCATGATGACAGTAGCAGAAAAATCTTCTCTTCCGGTTTTTTTTGTCAATAATGTTCACAACCCCAATATGACCTCTTCCATGAATGCTGAAATCGAAAGTTGTACATTTTTCAACAATACCAAAACTGTGAGTGTCATGATTCGTGATTCTGTGGTGTGACTGTGAGGGATTGTGAGTTTCAAAATAACCAAAAGGGGGCTCTTTGGGGTTATCCTCTGGCAATAACAACAACTAAATTTGTGAATTACCAACACAACAACAACATTAAGGAAGGTTCTGATGGAGGTTCTCTCTTTCTTTCACATACCAGTTGCTCCATCTTATTTTGCCGTTTCATTGGAAATAGAGCCAATAATAGTGCTAACTATGCAGGAGGATGTATCTTCATTGAACATATGATGGGAAACTTTGATCACACCCAAAGTTTATTTGAGGGAAATTCTGCATTATCATATGGCAATGATACAGCAGGACCATTACGAAGTATATCTTATGAAATTTCTGTATCTGTATTGAACAAGGATGGAGATTTCATTACATCTCAGGTCTACAAAAACCCTAAAGTTCCACAATTACATTTATATCCGGGCTATTTAATTCCATACATTAATGTATCGATATGGGATAACCATCGTAAGAAGATTACAAATGCTGAACGAAGGATCACAATTCAACAATTTGAATCAAACATTCCGGTGTGATCTTCTTCCAAAATTCAGAGCTTCATGATTTCACTATTCACAACTTTTATGCAGTCGCTCTAAACGATTCAACACATATCATCAGAGCACGATTATATATTGATGAAACAACAAGTATTTCAAAGGAAATTTTCATGGAAGAGTGTCCAGTTGGAACGAGTTTTGTAATATTCACTTGAATCTTTTGGAGGTATTTGTATGGAATTACCAAAACCAAATCTTGCATTAATTATTCCACTTGCTCTATTGGGGTTGATTGTAGTGTCTCTTGTAAAGATTATATCGCCTTCACAAAAAGGAGTCTTACGAGAAGGCATTTGAGCGAGCATTGAATTATACAAAAGCTGATTTATGGAATGACAAGGAAGACATTTCTGAAAAATCGAGTCTTTTATCTCAAGCACAACCCAAACCAATGGTACTGGCCTCATCAATGAATCAGACACAACAATTTATAATTCCAATTGAAGAAATTCAAGTAGGAAAACGAATTGCTGAGGGTATCATTTGTTTTGATGAGCTTTGATGTTTTTATTCAACTTTTCTTTCAATGAATAATAACAAGTTCTAATGGAAGTGTTTATATTGCCGATTGGCAAGGAACCATTGTGGCTTTAAAAACTCTAAAGGAAGAGAACGACATGGATGATTTTGAACATGAGGCAGCATTATTAAGCTCTTTACGTCATCCAAATATTGTTAATTTTTTACGTGTATGCATATCAGCATTGAACAGAAAGCATTTGATTCAAGAATATTTGCCAAGAGGATCACTTGAAAAGTTAATATTTGATTGTCGAAGAGGAATACAAACTGTGAGAATTAAGGGAAATGCTACATCTGCCACCGCTCAGTATTTTGAACTTTTTTGAGTATGCATTACGACTCCTTTTTATGATTGATAATTCTCATCTTGAAAACTTGTTAATGTTATTTAAAAGAAGGGAAGAAAATTCTTACGGGCTTTCAGTAGTATTTCATGTAGCAAAAGGTCTTCGTCCAATAATTCCATTCTCAACCACACAAGAAGAATGGACAAGAGAGTTTATATTGGACCATAACTTGAAATCATCAAACGAAACATTGAAAACTTTTTTGCATGTAGAAAATGAATATTTTAGAATTATGCAGGAGTGTTGGAATGCAATTCCGGAATGCTGTCCTTCATTTCTAACAATCATTAAATGTTGAATCAATGTTTATTGATATTTCAAGACCTATCTACATGAAATGATTGTTTTTGGTAGATTGGACTACATTCGGGACAGTATTTTTTTAAACAACTTTATAGTGATGTTTAAAGTGATTTAATTTCATCTATGACATATGTAAGAATTTTCAAGTTGTTAGGATTGCAGAATTTGACCTCGATTTGCCTCATTCGTTGAAGTGATTGTCAGATTTCTCGTAATTGAAAGGGAATAAAAATGTACTTCTGAATCTCATTAAAATGTCAAGAGAAGCAACATCCACTAAAGAAGAGCCCATAAGAATGCGAAACGATTTGTTTGTTCGATCAACCAATAAAATTTGAAAGGTCATCGGCTCCTTTCAAAACCAATCAAAAAAAAACGCCATCATGACTCTGATTCACAAAGTAGTTTTGCTTTTACTTCTCATCAGCAGTGTGGCACTTTTAATTCTTTTCACTTTTAATTTTTTCCAAAGAATGAAAACACAGAAAAACGAAACACTCCGATGGTTGCTTGATAATTCTCCAGTGATCAACAATAATAATTTTGTAAATACCAATGCATTGAATGCAAGAGTGTTTCCAATTACATTTATCAGTGCAGAATTAGAAAATGCAGGATCATCAGGAGTGTTGAGGTCTAATTGCCAAGTTTACTTGTCATCCTATTTTAGCTTTAATTCGATTGGAAGAATTTTACCTACATTTATTGGAGATGAACGATATAAACATGTGTATGGTATGTTCTCAATATCACAAAGAATTCACATTCGAAATGAAAGGTCAACATATTTGAAAATTAAGATCATGGAAAGAGGAATTTGATTTTACAGAAATTTTTGCAAAGTTCTGCTTCAGACTATATTGGAGAAGAGGACCTTATCTTTTTTAGTGATGGGATGGATGTCATGTTTTATGATGATTTGCAACGTGCTGCGTATGTTTATGTGAAATATTTACGAGAGGAGGGAATTGATGTTGAGAGAGACAGAGATATGGATTGGCCATTGTTGTTTAATGCTGAAAAGAATAGACATCCACCACCCTATGAGTTGAAAAATTATATTAAGGTAATGTTCACAAATGAAAATAGATTATGTTTGTTAAGATTCTTTTTATAATTATTGTTAAGAACATGGATGTAAAACTTGTAATCTCAACATACGTAAACAGGGAAAATTATCCAAAGAAGAGTTATTGTCATCCACAATCCACTTTTAAATTTCTCAATTCAGGCATGTATATAGGAAGAAAGAGAGACATCAAATCATATATTTTCAAAATATTTCACCATGTTGTTATTAATCCAACAAATATACACAATGATGATCAAGGAATAGCACATTATGTCTATATTTCCAAATCGTTCTATCCAATAGCCGTAGATTGCAATACCACTTTGGGTCTTCCAACATTTGAAGCCTGTGAAAGCTTTACATTTGACCAACGAACTGGTAAATGTCAAATTTCAAGTCCATTAAATAAGGAAAGACCAATAGCAGTACATAGCGTTGGAAAGGGTTGTCCTCAATTTTGTCCCTGCCTTAAAAGCATTATTGACTCTGGATTGTTACAATTTAATATTCAACGTGCAATTCACTCTCATGGATATTCCAATGAAAAGGAATTGAAAAAAGAATTTGGAGTTGTTGTGTACAACAGTGACTATGACACGATTCGAATCCAATCTGTTCTTGATTTCTGTGGAAAGGATATTTTATTCAACATTCCAAAGCATCGATGCGTCTTCAAGGCATATCAGATATAATCATGCATGTCAGATAAGGTTTAGCATTTCACACATTGTTGTTTTGGTGTCTATGACTTGAGACATGCCTATGAATTGCTTCTTCTGTCTTTTGTCTCTGAAAAAAAATTGGCTCATCAACATGATCAGCGATGATTTATTCATCAGTGATCATCATTTAAAATTCGGAATTTGGAGTATTTCATCTCTACATGATCATCAATCAATAGTATTCATTATTGAGTGTATGTGATCAAGTATCATCAAGATTTAATTGAATTGAAAAAATTTTGAATGACTCCTTTTTGATGTAATGATCATGGAGTGAATTTGACCACATTATTGTTGTTGTTTTTGTGATTTAATTCAACAATTTTTGATTGAGTTTTTCAATTTGAAAATTTCTCGAGGTCCATATTAACTTGATTGTGATATTTACTTGTTGAAAGGAATCATCAAATGATAGGAGATGAGGTTTGGGTTTGGGTTTGGGTTTGGGTTTGGGTTTGGGTTTGGGTTTGGGTTTGGGTTTGGGTTTGGGTTTGGGTTTGGGTTTGGGTTTGGGTTTGGGTTTGGGTTTGGGTTTGGGTTTGGGTTTGGGTTTGGGTTTGGGTTTGGGTTTGGGTTTGGGTTTGGGTTTGGGTTTGGGTTTGGGTTTGGGTTTGGGTTTGGGTTTGGGTTTGGGTTTGGGTTTGGGTTTGGGTTTGGGTTTGGGTTTGGGTTTGGGTTTGGGTTTGGGTTTGGGTTTGGGTTTGGGTTTGGGTTTGGGTTTGGGTTTGGGTTTGGGTTTGGGTTTGGGTTTGGGTTTGGGTTTGGGTTTGGGTTTGGGTTTGGGTTTGGGTTTGGGTTTGGGTTTGGGTTTGGGTTTGGGTTTGGGTTTGGGTTTGGGTTTGGGTTTGGGTTTGGGTTTGGGTTTGGGTTTGGGTTTGGGTTTGGGTTTGGGTTTGGGTTTGGGTTTGGGTTTGGGTTTGGGTTTGGGTTTGGGTTTGGGTTTGGGTTTGGGTTTGGGTTTGGGTTTGGGTTTGGGTTTGGGTTTGGGTTTGGGTTTGGGTTTGGGTTTGGGTTTGGGTTTGGGTTTGGGTTTGGGTTTGGGTTTGGGTTTGGGTTTGGGTTTGGGTTTGGGTTTGGGTTTGGGTTTGGGTTTGGGTTTGGGTTTGGGTTTGGGTTTGGGTTTGGGTTTGGGTTTGGGTTTGGGTTTGGGTTTGGGTTTGGGTTTGGGTTTGGGTTTGGGTTTGGGTTTGGGTTTGGGTTTGGGTTTGGGTTTGGGTTTGGGTTTGGGTTTGGGTTTGGGTTTGGGTTTGGGTTTGGGTTTGGGTTTGGGTTTGGGTTTGGGTTTGGGTTTGGGTTTGGGTTTGGGTTTGGGTTTGGGTTTGGGTTTGGGTTTGGGTTTGGGTTTGGGTTTGGGTTTGGGTTTGGGTTTGGGTTTGGGTTTGGGTTTGGGTTTGGGTTTGGGTTTGGGTTTGGGTTTGGGTTTGGGTTTGGGTTTGGGTTTGGGTTTGGGTTTGGGTTTGGGTTTGGGTTTGGGTTTGGGTTTGGGTTTGGGTTTGGGTTTGGGTTTGGGTTTGGGTTTGGGTTTGGGTTTGGGTTTGGGTTTGGGTTTGGGTTTGGGTTTGGGTTTGGGTTTGGGTTTGGGTTTGGGTTTGGGTTTGGGTTTGGGTTTGGGTTTGGGTTTGGGTTTGGGTTTGGGTTTGGGTTTGGGTTTGGGTTTGGGTTTGGGTTTGGGTTTGGGTTTGGGTTTGGGTTTGGGTTTGGGTTTGGGTTTGGGTTTGGGTTTGGGTTTGGGTTTGGGTTTGGGTTTGGGTTTGGGTTTGGGTTTGGGTTTGGGTTTGGGTTTGGGTTTGGGTTTGGGTTTGGGTTTGGGTTTGGGTTTGGGTTTGGGTTTGGGTTTGGGTTTGGGTTTGGGTTTGGGTTTGGGTTTGGGTTTGGGTTTGGGTTTGGGTTTGGGTTTGGGTTGGGTTTGGGTTTGGGTTTGGGTTTAGGTTGGGTTTA